AGTAGTGGGCCAGATTGAGCACCTCGTGATCACACTGGGCTCCCTCCGTCTGGACTGTCCAGCAGCTGTGGTTGGTGAGTAGAATTGAGAGTGGGACCTATGGACCCCTATTGCAAACCCTCTCCCTTCCACCAAACCCTCGTGAGGTCTCATGCCTGTAAATACTGACTTCTTCAAAATCTCAGGTTTCCACTTTTTCTATACTATAGACTTGTCCCAATTTTTACTCTCCAAAGTACCAAATGGGCTCTGAGCTACATGCAAGACATGTTGAGAATCACTAAGAAAAAGGAGTGTGTAATTCAGGATAAAAAATATCAAAGGATAAGAAAGCAGACATTTTTGTGTGCCAGTGAAGATGGTTCCTGAAAGCTTTTCCTGAGCTAGTTGGAAGTAGAAGGCAAGATCCTCTTACTCTTTTGCCATAAATCTCTTGATAACTTCCCACCACCTCCTGTACTTTCCCTTATGTACTTTACTCTAAACTATTGTAAATTTCTGAGTTTTGTGTAAACTCTTTTAGAGTTTTAAAGTCCTAGGTTTGAATCTTGGCTCTATCATCTTTTAACTATAATGATCTGGGAAAATTAATTAATATAATAGATGTTCAACATATGTTTATTAGATGGATGGATGGATGGATGGATGGATGGATGGATGGATGGATGGAAGGAAGGATGGATAAATGGATGGGTGGATGGATGGTTGGAAGGAAGGAAGGAAGGAAGGAAGGAAGGAAGGAAGGAAGGAAGGAAGGAAGGAAGGAAGGTAGGTAGGTAGGTTGGTTATATGGAGCCCGATGTAATAAGGCTGACTTTTAAACCAGAATGGCAATAGTTGAATCTTCCTTTTATTTTAGAGGACAGTGAGAAAAACTTGTCCCTTGGTCTCCAGACTCTCCGGTCCCTTAAGGTAGGATTGATTTTATTTTCCCTTTGATACTTACGCTCTGAGGTGGGGTTCCTTTTGCATTGACAGTGGGATCATTGACAGTGACCAGTGATTCTCCTTTGTTTTTAGTGCATAATAAATTTGGATAAGCACCGCCTGATCATGGGAAAGACAGACAAAGAAGAAATCCCTTTTGTGGAGACAGTTTCCTTAAATGAAGACAAGTAAGTGCCCAAATGAGTCAGGTCAAGTAAAATCCACTTGTCATTAAGTGGAGGGTTCTCATACAGAATATTGGGTTGTGCCCTGCCTTTGTCCTTCAGTCTTACCATAAGTACACTCACCCGGAACCCCTAGAGTTCACCATTCCACAAAATTTTCTAGCCCATGTTCTGGAATGAGTAGTGATGATACTGGTGGGGAAAATAAGTAGCTTTTAACTAAAATACACTTGCCTTCAACCTAACTTCTTTGAATTTGGTATCATTTCTTCTATTTCTTTCTCATTTCAGCACTTCAGAAGCGTAACTACAGAATGCAGCATGTCTGCATGTATGCATACATACCAGGTTGACAGACTGAGAAAACTGGGTTTGAACCAAATGCAGTAGCAACTTGCTGTGGACCAAGTCCTTCCCTCTGATAGAAGCTCCAGGGGCTCCTTCCCACCCAGACCTCTCTAGATTTTAGTCCGTGCTTAGAGATCTTATCTGGTTATAGCCATTGTTTTTTACTCCTCTGATCACTTAATTTATAGACCTTTTGACACTGCCAGGTCTCACTTGTGGCCTACTTCTCTGCTTCTTCCAGGAATTTGCTTTTATTAGTCAAGTATAGGGGCTTCCAGGTTCCATTTCTCTATAGATGCACTTGCTTCTTTTCCTATAGCTAAAATGTATAATAAACAAGAACCTGACCTTTACCTCCTTTCAGCTGTTTCAAAGAGGTGCAGGATACCTAGGTCTCAGAACTAGAATTTCTTCTAATTCGTTCATTGATTTCTCAAGTATAAATTTATCTGAAAGAGCCCAGAGAGATCATCTAGTCCAACCCTTTTATTTAAAGGTCCAGAGAGGCAAATGAATTATCCAAGTTCTTATACTAAGTGACTGGTAGAGGAACCTAGAGACTCAGACTTGACAAGGCAAGACTATATTCATTCCCCCATGCTGCTATTTTTGTCTTCAGGCCTTGAAGAGGTGAGCGTTTGTAAAAAGGCAGGGTAGGGGAAGAATCTGCTTTGGGGGTGGATGCAGGAGGATCTGAATAGCCCTCTCTCCTGTGTGCTAAGTCTACTAAAAGTCTCTGCCCCAAATTGTCACATGTAGGACCTTATTTTGGTGCCTAAAAGCTGAGGGTACAAAGATGAATGAGATAGTCTCTCACTGTTAACTTCTTAGAGGGGAGAAGGGTGAAAGGAACCACAGACAGAAAACATTAATCACTTTCTGAGATGGAATTGAAGGCTATGATAAATAATCTGGGGATCATTATTAGACATTGACACCCCCAAGATCCAGTCATTATTTCTGCCCAGTCTGTTATTTGTCTGCTGTGGACCCAAGTAGATGGGATCAGGAATAGGGAAAGGAGATGGAAAAAACCCGAAGAGGTCCAGAATAGAAGGAAGTACTGGGTAGAATCAGTTGGTGGAAACTCCTACCTATGGAAACCTTTCTGGGATGGAGGTCAGGAAGAAAACTTCCAGGCAGGGAACTGAGGGTTGGGAAGCTCTTCAGATTTGCCCTATTTCAAGGAAAGAGGCAGGGCAGGAGCTGGCAGTGTTAAGGACAACTTTTTCTGACTGCCCAGTGTCCTCTGACTCTTCTCAAAACATTGGCAATCACAGGGATGTCTTGAAGCATTTTTGTTGGGGTGTCAGCTTAGGCACACAGATACCAATAATGGAATCTCCCTTTCAATTTGGTCATAGAAGTACTTGGAGGAGTCAGAAAAATACTCAGCTGGGAGTATCTTTTTAAGAGATCCCCAGCTCTACCCTTGCTTCATAGTAGTTTCCAGAGCATTTAATGGATCCCATGTTGAACTTTGCCAGGTCCCACCAATAATCTCATCTAGTGTTCAGCTACTGCCTCTACCAAACAACTTTTTGGAACCGTGAATGTCTTGAGGCTTACAGAAGCTCCCTAAAGACTAGGAACTTGGTGACTCCCACTTGAACAGCTAGACAGCCATAGTACCGCCTAGGTCACCCCAAAGCTCCTCTTCTTATCAGCCTCTATATAGAGGAAGCAAGATGGAAAACTAAGCACAGCCACAGCAGAGGAGGCCATGGCTGGACTTCAGCAGGGGTGATTCCAGGTTACCAGCCTTCGGTGCCCCCTTGAAATTTATCTCATTTTTGCCTGGGGTGAGGAGGACCTGTGCCTTTCCACTGAGGCCTCTCCACTCTCCTGCCCTACCTATCATAGCATCACTTTGGCCTGCTCCTTACCCTAAGGCTGAGTTGAAATACTTCATCCCTTCCTTCCCAGGTTGAAAATTCCATGCCAAGCCTTGACTCTTGGCCACAAGAGAGGCATATTAGAAGTTCCTTGGCCTGGTTTATCCTTATTTACATTCCTGGTGGACCAAGTGAGGCCAGGAATTCTTTGGTGCTAGAAAGATGTGACAGATTTCTGACCCTTGAGTTCAGGATTATATGGTGTCAGAGAGATGATCAGTTGCCTTTAGTGATCTTTCTGGCCTCTGAGAATTAATGATTTTCCAATTTTGGAATAGAAACAATTGGGGTGATCTGAGCTTAGGGTATCATAATCTCTTTCAGTGCAGTCAGATTATTTGAATTTACTAACCAAATAATTGTGCTGTAAACCTTGGTTTGATAGAGGTACCTAAAAATGTCTAAGGACAATTATGGGAAGTCTTGAGCTTCATTAATCTTTAAATGCTGCCAAGTTTATTATTATGATAAGCCATATCTCTTTGGTATTCACTAGGGAGCACCTGAGCTACTTTTGGGGGGCTGGCAAGGTAAAAAGGTGAAGTTAGTTCTTCCCAGAATCCTAAAAAATTCTCTCTGGCACCTCTTATTCAGGATGTGAGAAGAAAGTGTCTACCCAGGTCAGAGTTCTCAAGACAGGCAGTAGCAGACATTAACCCTGTAGAACTAGTACCCCTCTCATTCCTTATTAGATGTCCGTCTCAAGTACAGGAAGTTTGAAAAATATTGTTTTTGTTATTTGGTATATCTATGCCTGAGTTATTTAAGGAACAAATGTTTTCTGACTTTTCAATTTCCTTGCCCTGCACAGACCCCATCCGGTAAGCTTTTCTATTCCTTAGCTCAAAGTGTCTGTAGAATGGATTGCTTATTGTGTCAGCTACCCTGACTCTTGTGTAATAGAAGCATCCTTCCAGGCTGGAGACATGGAGGACATGAACTGGATTCTTCCCTCCTTCTGTTGCCAAGCCTCTACATTGGCACTTTTACCTGCTCAGTGTTTCTGGCTGTGTTGGGTTTATTTGTGAGATTGATGTAACAATAAAGTAAAATCTCCCCCTCTGTGTGCTTGTCTCACAAAGTCTCTGTGTCAGGGCCCCTGGAAGGTGAGGGAGCCCAGGCATAGCCTAATTGCATCAGTGTTTTTCTCATAGGATATTCTGAACACAAGGCTTTGAGGTCCTCATTTTTCCTTGCTACTGGTCCTTTAGCAATCTCCTACTTAACTGTGACAATAATTGTTTATGATGGGCCAGCAGTGTGTAAGAGAATATTTCTTTTAGAAAGGGAAATTTTTATTTAGTTCAAATAAATAGGACAGATTTGGGAAGGGGCAGTATTATTTAATGAGCCTTAATATATAGTTAAAGCCATTGCCTAAATGACATTTCAAATAAATGCATTTTACAGATGATAGAAAGCTTTAAATATTAATATTTTAATATTTAAGCAGTATGACTAAAGAGTCAGCAAAAAACATTTTTTAACTACGACAGTGTTTATCACAATCTAGAATTATGGTTCCACTGTTACTCAGATGATACCGCCTCAAAAGGTTTTGTCTTATTTTTGTCCATTTATTCTAATTTAAAAAATTAAAAAGATTTACCCAATGTGACTCTTAGTCAATAGGTGACAGATTCAAGATTCATGATAATCTTAATAGAATGAAATAAAGAAAAATACATTTTAAAAGAGTTAAAAAGATATATCCTGACTTTCATGTTAAAAAAATCTATTGCTCTTGCACAGTGGGGGAATGCTTGGATTAACAGGTTTACATGAAGGTGATGTTGGGGTTTTAGCTAAGGAGTATGGAATTAAGGACTCTGTGTAAGAGATGTCAGTTGTAAGACAGGAACATGTGCACAATTTGTGGAGCATCTAGAAAAGGGCAATGATAACATGATTATTGTCTTCAGAGCTGTCGTGGAAAGTGTTCCTTCTGGAACCAGAAGGGAAGCGTTTCCAGCAGGTGGAGGTTGCAAGGAGGCATACAGATCCTGGTTCAGTTGGAGGGAAGCATCTACTATAACCCAGGGACTATGCTAACTCCTGCAAAGAAGGTGGTATTTTTCACAGTTTTGCAGAAGGAAAAGCTAGGACTCAGAGTGGTATCAAGATAAAACTGTTTAGCACAAATAAATAGTCTCCAAATTTCTTTCACTGGAAGTGAAGGGTGGGATGATCATTTTCTAGCAATATTATGAAAGATTTCTGTATTGGGTAGAAGGTTGGATAAGGAGACCTCCAAAGTAATTTCTAATGCCAAAATTCTTTGATTCTAGGATATCCTTATTAAATGGCATTGTGAATCAGATATAGTCTCTTGCTGACTCACTGCCATCACTACAAACAGACTCATTAATTTGGACTTAAGTTATGATCTTTTTACCCGGATTTGAAGGGTTTCAGGTTACTGTTCTTATGGAATCAGAAAGCAGAGATCAACTGTGTATTATACCTTGGACTCCTCTGTCAGCTGCCACTTCTTCTATTATTAGCGCATCCTGGGCTATAATATGCTACTGTCTTATATTTGCTCATTTGTCTGGCCAATGACCTCTTGGCAGCTGTTTCTCACACGGTGTCAAGCATATGGGCATTGTGACAACTGTTTTCTCAAAGATGTTTTCATTCATGGGCCATGGTATGTTCTGGAAGACCGGGGCTGCCAGATTCCTGACCAGAATGGAGAAAAATGGGCCTTTATCTAATTTTAGTAAGTGATTAGTCCAAAGGTTCTAACAACCTGATGACTACAAGCTTTGTTCTTGCTTTCCAGTACCTTTATCACATTCTTTCCTAGACCTGTGCCTCTAACCAGCAAATCCAAGCTATGAAAATGAGAGAGGGGAATTCAGTCTTAGGATTGCTTTTACTAGAATCATAGTAGTCTCCAAATTTGTAATTAATATAGAAAACTTAGCTCTCCAGGGAACTCATATACTTTGATATTGACATACTCAAACCATGCCAGTTGTCTGGAACAGGAAAATAGGTTGGGGAAAGGGAGTATGGTTGATTTAGTGGAGATACTTGTTTTCCAGGGGAGAAACTTGGAGGGGAAAATATAATCTTTTGTATTGTAAGCCTAGATAATAGGAATTTAACCTTTCTTTCATCATGTAGCAAACTAATGTGGAATGTCTTGGGATTCTGGACTCCTTGGATATACTAGATGACCTTGTAATTGGGGGAGCTGCTAAAGTGGTTCTCATCTTATTTTGAAAATGGGTAAAGAGATGAGAATTTGATTGGTATTAGGGCTGATCATACGAAGAAGCAATTACTTTTTTGAAAGTTCTACAGAAACTGTCCCTTACATGTCTGACTGAGCTCATAATAGTTTCTCTGTGATAAATATGAACTAGTGGGAAATAGAAAGTATATTAAAGTGAACAGGTTTCATAACTAACTCTTATGAGCCCCCCTTTGTTTGCTTTGTTTCTTAAATTCCACATAGGAGTAAAATCATATGGTATTTATCATTCTCTGACTGGCTTACTTTACTTAGCACTTATACTTGCTAGATCCATCCTTGTTGTTGCAAATGGCAAGATTTCATTCTTTTTTATGGCTGAATAATATTCCTGTGTGTGCATGTATACTGCATCTTCTTTATCATCCATCAGTAGACACTTGGGCTGCTTCCATAGTTTGGTTATTGTAAATAATACTGCAATAAACATAGGGGTACATGTATCCCTTCAAATTCGTGTTTTTGTATTGCCTTCCCACCAATAGTGCACAAGGGTTCCTTTTTCTCCATATCCTTGCCAGCACTTGTTGCTTTTTAAGTTTTTTATTTTAGTCATACTGAGAGGTGTGGGGTGGTATCTCACTGTGGTTTTGATTTGTATTTCCCTAATGATGAGTGATATTGAGCATCTTTTCATGTGTCTATTGGCTATTCTGTATGTTGCCTTTGGAGAAATATCTGTTCATGTCTTCTGCCCAATTTTTAATTGGATTATTTGTTTTACTGCTGTTGAGTTGTAGAATTTAAATGTATAAAAATTATCCTTAGATTGCAGACTGTACAAAAACAGGACTTGGCCATAGGCTGTGGTTTATTGGGCTATGTCCAAAGTTATTTCATACCTTCTCTTCTTCTCAAGTCTCTAACACCTCTTTTCCCATTCTCACTTTCAGATGATGAGCTTTCTTTCTACTTCATTCATAGAATAATCAGCAACACTCACCACCCCTACCTTATGTAGCCTCTAACTACCCTGTAACTTGCATCTGTATACATATATTCAGCTTTCTCTTCTGTTACTGTTACCATAGCACAATACCTAACTGCTGTATAATTTACCACATTTGTTTATTGTCTGTCTCCCCCTCTAGAATCTTAATTCCAAAAGATAGGGAGTTTTTTTCTGTTTTATACACTGATGTATGCCCAGTACTGAGAACAGTGTTTACCATGTAAGTATTCAGCAAATACTTGAATGAATGAACATGGACTACTAGACCAGCAAGGAGCAGTTTAGAGAATTTTTCTTCAGAGAAACTTACCTCTCCTTCCAAGAGAAAAGACTTACCTATCTTGTTATTTGGAGTCTCCTTGAGCACACCAAGTGGTAATTTTAAAATTTCTTTGAAAAAACACCCACAATAAGAAATCCCCATTTTATGGGATTGACCCAGTACTTAAATATGTATATGTGGTGTGTACATATATGAAACCAAAGTTTCACAAAATAACTTTTTTATAGGTGATATATTCTGATATATTTTCTATTCTATTCTGTCATTTAGGGCAGCAGGGAGTGTGGATTGGTTGCAACTGATTACATTTATTTCACAAACCACTAATGGGTGTGCAATCAGAATTTTGAAAAATACTGCAGGGTGTCCTAATTACAAGCCCTGTCCATGTACACCGATCTTCCAGTCAGCTTTCTTTCTAAGACCGCACTCTTCACCAAGGATCTCTTAGACATTTAAGAAAAGCTTCTAACACAAAAGACAGAAACAAAGACTGAATAACTCAATGCAGACAACTCAAGAAATAAAACATTAGAAATATTCTCAGAGCAATAAGATACTACACCCCACAGATGGAAGAGAATGCTATTTAAAGAGTGGAGGGAAAGGTGGACAAGAAAGTACTCTAGTAAATACAAGGCAGGATTACTGAAATGTAAAAATTCAAATGTAAAAATTCCAAATTCCAGATTTGGAATATGGAAATCTTTCAGAAAAAAAAGAAGTAGAAAAGGGAAGAAATGATAAATTATCCTAGGACAAAAGCTGTGCAGTAGGTTTGGAGAACAATCAGTCCAGAGTGAGGGAGGGTGATGGATTCTTAGAGGGTTGTCTCCAGCTTAAAAAACAAACTGATACATTACCTGATGTGTTTGAATATATTGAGAAGAGAGTTTTGGATAAATTATTTATAGATACTTGAGTGCTAGCCACTTAAGAAAGTATGGAAAAAGGGACAATGGCTAATTTCAGTCAAGAATCCAAAACCTAGTATTATGCTAATGGGATCAACTATGAATAATATATAGTCATAATATAATGAATGGTTGTATTAGATACATTGAAAGATAGAGAAATAATATGTGTGTTTACGAGAGGGCATTAGAGTATAAATGCATAGTCTATTTCCTATAGCAAGAAGTAAAATAATAGATCAAACTGAAAAATCAAGAACTAGTAGTATAAGCCTGTTATCAAGAAATATGGAGAGGGGCACTTGGGTGGCTCAGTTGGTTAAGCATCTGAGTCTTGGTTGGCTCAGGTCGTGAACTGTTGGTTTGTGAGATCAGCCCTGCGTCTAATAGCGCAGAGCCTGCTTGGGATTCTCTCTGCCTTTTACCTGCTCACACACCCTCTCTCTCAAAAGAAGTGAAGAAACATTTAAAAAAATATTTGGATATAAATCCCAGAAGAGATAGCTAAAAGGTAAGAAAAAGGTAGTCTCTGAGGAGCTGAAATTGAGAGTATAGACGGCTGGGGCAGGGTCTGCTGTGAAATCCGATTTGATTTTTTAAAATATACTATGTTGGTAAAAAAATAAACACAAATAACAGATTTCATTTATTTGAAAGTCATAATGATTTAGAGAGGAGGGACTGTTTTCCTTAAGTGTTCCCTTAGAACACTGTGAGACCAACAATACTGATTTAGTAGTCTTTTTAAAAGAAACTCTTAAGATCCTTCCCAGCCTTGGTACTAAACCTTGTATTGCTTTATTATTTTAGGGATTCCAGTAACTTATCAGCAATAGTGGCACCAAGCATCTCTAGAAACAGAGAATATTCTGGCCCCATATATTGTTATCATGGTGGGGACCAGCATGTGATATGGCATGGCACACTTACACAGCTTTACAGGCAGCGGAGGGCAGAAAATCTCACTAATGGAGGTTGAGTAGGAGGAAGTATCCTGGTCAGGCACATGGTAAAGGAGAGGGCTCATATAAGACATTCTTGGGTATGCTCAGAAATAACTGGAATAACTTGTATGTGCCCTATCCTGCCATAACCACTAGACACACAATCCAAGGAAACCATCATCACTGATGTTATGTATGACTCCATTTGTTCTGGACTGACATGGCCTGGGAAATTGTTGAGTAGATCAGGTAGGGTGGAGAAATAAGAAAGGGGCATCCAGAGAGCTGTTTGATCACTGGAGGAGAAAGGATGTGAGGGGGCTACAGACAGAGCTGGCAAAACCTTGGTCCCAGATACATTTGTCCTGGATACATAAATTGTCGCTTCTGCTTCCTAACCTTCTGATTTCCACATTTAAATTCCCCACCAGGGAAATTTTCAGGCCTAACAAAGAAGTGAGAGGGCCCAGGCCAAGTAGCAGGATCTGTGTCACTCCTTAAAAAAGAATGAAGTAGGGAAACCTAGTCACAGGGAAGCAAGGAAAAAGGAGGGCAAGAGTGGGCACTAAGGCCAGTCTTGCCTATAAAAAGAACTCTGATGTGGCCTGAAGGTCTAGGAAGACCCTACGTTAGAAATCTCCCCTCTCCTGCCTCCTATGGTATCAGATCCCATCCATACTTCTTTGGGCTCAGCATCACCTTTTCATGGTCAGAAAGGAATCAAGTAGGGATTCAAGCAGGTACCTGGTTCTTTGAGACAGACCAGAGGAACCTCTCCAGTTCATGCTTTCTGGATCCCCGGACACTTACTGGTTGTTACACTATCCCAGTCTCCAGGTAAAAAGATAATAGGCAAGGTCCCTGCCCTCAAAGAGCTCACAATATTTGAGCGGAGGCTGGGAATATAGAGGCAGATGCAACACCATAATTTTACCATAATGGGGTAAGTTATGATATATTTGCACAAACACAGAAGGGAGAGCACTTTAATCAGATAAGTCTCTCTAGCTTACAAGACCCCTGACCTAAGGGGAAAGTGTTATCTAGGTGGAGCAGGGCAGAACAAGAGGAACTAGTCTCTTTACTTCTATCGCATCACCTAAAATTACCTTCATTTTTTTGGCAGAGATATACCTCTCCTAAACCCTTGGCTCCAGCTGTGCCAGTTCCTCCCAGTGACCTTTCTCTTTAGCCAAGCCTGAGTCTTCATTCAGCCTCCAGCCAGGCAACCATCTTACAGTCACTCTCCACTCACGGTAGCCATATTCCATATTCTGGAACAATGATGCCTAACATAAATATTAAATTCTCTCCTAGCTACATTTAAGAAGTAAAAAGAAACAAATGAAGTTATTTTAATAATATTTCATTTAATCCAATGTATCTGAAATATTTCAACCTTAATATAAAAATAGTATTGAGATATTTTGGGTTTTTCTGCACTAAGTCTTTGAAATCCAGTGTATATTTCACACTCAATTCAGAGTAGCCACATTTCAAGTGCTCAATTACCACACGTGGTTAGTGGCTCCTGTATTGGACAGTGTAACTCTAAAATTCTGCTTCCATGAGTCTACCTGGTATTTCTCCATTAAACATATAAGGCCTATCAGACAGAGGCATTACTATATATTTATTCTAAGCCTTTGTACTCCCAGTCAAGGGAGAGCAGTTTTGAAGAAAAGGCCTATGAGGTTTTAGCCAGAATGAGAACTCCCTTTATATGCCAGACCTAGACAATTAACCCTAAATTGATCCCAAACTTGCTTTTAGCAATCACAGATGCACAATGCCTCACAGTCATACGCATCTGATCCTAGGTTTCTCCAAGTTGTTCTCTGGCCAACAGACCACCCACAACAAAGACTTGATATTTCACTAATGTGACAGTAATCTTCACAGCAGCCTGGAGGGGCTTTGATGGAAGGTCATCTAGCCCTACCCCTCTGATTCTGGTTGAGACTAGGTGCCATTTGGGATCGAAGGGGTTAAGTATACCTGGGGCAACACCAGACACCTTGTGTTACATTCTAGCATCAACAATAATCAACAATAATCACTTGGGGAGAAAAATATAGAAAAAATTCTATTAAAACATTTCTGCAAACCAGAAAAAGACTACCTTTAAGTTTTGTTAAAAGAAGAAATATGGATATTCCATGGGACAATCTGAAATCCACAGATAAGAATTCAGTCTCATAATTCTCATAACCAAGAGTCTCCATAAGTCTCATAACCAAGAACCAGAGGCCCAGAAGTGTTTTGCCCATTCAGCAAATCTGCTGTAGTGGTGATGAGCCCTGTATCGGTTCCACTATCCCGCTCCACTGTCTCCACTAAGTGAAAAATATTTTAATCGGAGACACCGTGCCGTCTCCAGGGTTCTAAATTACCTGCAGAGGATGACCTGCACTGGAAAGACCGGTCAGCACTCCCCCAACTAGGACTTAGGGGCCAGCCGCCCTGAATAGGATTGCAGCGCCCTGATCCCCCACCTTCTGGCGTCCGGGGCAGAGGCCACTAGGGTGGTTCTTTCGCCAACTCCACACCCTGCGAAGCCCGACCTGGCACGGCCCAGCCCTGCCGCGTCGCTGTGGCCCAGTTCCAGCAGCAGGCTGGGCCTAGGCGGTCAGCCCCCAGCGGGAGGCAAGTGGGGAGAACGAAACAGAAGCCAACCACGAAAGCAGAGATAGTTAGAAACCCTGCGGGGAGCTGCGTCCGAGAGGCGCATGGGCGGCAGGTTGGTGCCCAAATGCCAGAGAGGACCCCAAACCCCTAGTTGGGGGTTAGGCTTCCCGGGAAAGGACGGCTCGGGCAGTCAGTCCCAGAACTCCGTCTCCACGCCTGCCACCCGCCTCCCTGCGCCTGCGGGATGAGCCGCCCTCTCAAGCAATCCCTGCGGCTTGGGCTCACTGCAGCCCCATGTCTGGCAACGAACGGCTCCGGCCTCGCAGGGGTTGCTAGAGGTTCCCATCTCAGCTCCCGCGTTTGTTGGGGGTCTCCCTGGGCGAGACGACTTCCCAGCGCGCTGGCGGCCCACAGCCTCCGCTGCTACTGCGTCCGAGAAAGACAGCCTCGCGCCTCAAAGCTCTGCTAGGCCGAGGCTGCGGCGCCGGAGGTTCCCCCTTCGTGCTCTGGGCCCAAATGTACGCGAGACTGGCGTACACTGCGCGCAGTCTCCGGGCCCTTCGCACCGGGAACCGTTTCCGGGGCGGATGCTTTTTGTAGCTGACCCGGCGCGGCGGGTGACGCCAAAGCCCAGACGGAAGTGCGGGCGGAGGAGCCGGCGCCGGAGCTCCAGCCTCAGCCCCAGCCGGGAGCAGGTCTCGGCAGGGGGAGGGGGGCTCCGGGCTGTGGGAAACTGCTGGGTCTGGCAGCGATGGCGACCCTGTGGGGAGGCTTCCTGCGGCTTGGCTCCTTGCTCAGCCTGTCCTGCCTGGCGCTCTCAGTGCTGCTGCTGGTGCAGCTGTCAGACGCCGCCAAGGTGAGTCCGCCCAGCCTTCGCTCCTGACTGGAACTCCTCCCCTGCCCCGGCCTTGCGGAAACGGAGTCTGTCAACCTGCTCCCCACCCGACTCCTCTCCCAGCCCTGCCAGCCCGACGCCTAGCTTCACAGCCCTAGCAAATCCCCCACCCAACACCCTACTGCCTGGTAACACTGTCGCCCTCCGGCCCTGACATTCTGACAGTCACTGACCCCACTGCCACCCCTAGCCACGACACTCCTCTCCTCTTTCCCGCCTGACTCCGCCGGCGGCCCCGGCTCCACCCAGGCGGACCCCGGCTCCACCCAGCCCTGACAGTGGGCGCAGCCCGGAGAGCAAGTCCTCCACCTCCTGGACACTTCCCTTCCCAGCCCCGACAGCACCCACCTCAAACTTTACAACCTTTCCAACTCTGAGAGCCTTTAACTTTCCACCCTTCAGCTCCAGATAGTCTACGGCCGCCCTCCACCTACCTGCCTCACAGACTGCTGTCTTCCTCTCCCTCCCACCCCAGTCCCTAAGGCAAAGGGATAGGAAGCCCCCAGGTCCTGGAAGTCTTGCCTCTTAGGAAGACTCATTTCACCTCGTGTCTGAACCGATTCCCTTCCCAGTGTAAGAACTTGCCTCTCCTGGCAGCCTTCCTTCCCAATAGGACCTACCAGAGTCTCTCTCACCAGCCTAATAACCTAACCTAACTCCCTCTAGGATCTCTTGGCCCCCTTTTGCTCGCCTTCTCTTTCCCTGAAAATTTAGGGGAGAAGGGAGGATCCAAACTGCAGGAGAGGTGAAGTTGTGGCCTTCTCTCCTGCTCCAGTTCTTGGCCCTTCTAGCCTCCTCATGTTGCCCTTTAATCCCCTTCCGCTCCTGCCCTCCAGACCTGCTCTGGCCCCATACATGCTTGTGCTTCCTCCTTGATGAGCCAGCTCCTTCTTGGGGAAAACAGAAGGAATTCACATTAATGTCATGGAGAAATTTGCAAATGGGGACATTTGCAGTTTTAAAAAATAGGAGCTTTAATCTATAACATCTTTAAATAATAGGGGCTGGGAAAGACAGGTTACATGCAGAGAGATCAGGGAGTTTTAACTGGAAATTCTTTTTGAAATCTTCCCTACCTCCCACCAGAAATGGGGACAGCAGCTTCAAAACCCTGCTGGCATCCTCTGCATGTCTCCTGTCATCACTTTAAGTATTGTGTTGTAATCATGTATTTGTTAGTCTCCATTACTAGGGTGTGTCCTAATTACTGGCAGGAATCTGAATCCACTTCCTTGAGCTCAAGTTCTGGTACTGAGCAGATGCTCACTAAGTGATTGCTTAATGAATGAATGCATTGTCAACTGTTCTGCCACACAGAGCAGCATATATAGTAGCAGTGGACCTTGTCCTCTGGGGACTAATGAGCTACTGCACTAAGATAATTTCCCTTTTGCTAATGAAGCTTCTCCTACTTCCTGTACTCCTATATTTAGTCACCTCTTTCTCCACCTCTTGCAGCTTGCTTTTTCAGTAGTTATCCTCTCTGTCTACCAGAATTAGAAGCAAAATTTCCTGGGAAGGGTGACCAAACTGATCTCAGCTACCTACTTTGTGTACTTCTTTCTAAATTATAGCTGAATGCCTCTAAAACTTCATCCCTTCTATAGAGCTCTGGCCCACCCGCTTTTATCCATATCAATGCCATTCTACCAAAGGGTGGAAGAATGGTGGATAAAAGAATTGTGACTTGTTTTATAAGTAATATTTAGTTTGATTCTTCCCCATCATTTCGTAATAGGGTTCTAATTTGCAGGCACAGCTGTCTGCTGTGTCTTTTTATTGATAGGCAGAGGGTGATAACATTAGCACAGTTTGACTGTCTCATGACCTGTAAATTGTGAGTGATAAATCACAGATCATGTACAGGTATTATTTCAAAATAATTTTATGTAACATATAATGATTCATTAGCATTACCAAAAAGAACCTGGGGCTTTTTAGAGCTTTTATTTCTCAAAATGAATGGTTTTAGATTATTTGGCAGGAGATGCTTAGTAAAATGTTTATGGTGCATTTTTTTAAAAATATTGATGCTAATCTGTCAACAAGCTATACTAAGTTTCCATTTTGGTTTACAGAACTTTGAGGATGTCCGATGTAAATGTATCTGTCCTCCCTATAAAGATAATTCTGGGCATATTTATAATAAGAACATATCCCAAAAAGATTGGTAAGTATTCTAGATTACTGAATTACCTGTCATATTTCTTTCTCTGGTTGTCATTGTTAGCCCAGAATGTTCATCCAATGTGTTGTTTCCTTTTTAGGTACAGCTGATCCTTGAACAGCGTAGGGATTAGGTGTGCTGACCCTGGTGCAGTCAGAAACCTGCATACAAACTTTTGACTCTCTCACAAAACTTAACTGCTAATAACCTACTGTTGACGAGAGGCTTACCAGTAACACAGTTGATTAACACATACTCTGTATGTTATGTGTATTATATGCTCTACTCTTACAATAAAGTAAGCCACCGAAGGAAAATATTAGGACAGTCATAGGAGAGAGAAAATACATTTACAGTACTGTACTGTGTTTGTTTTTTTATACACAAAAAAATTTGTGTATAAGTGGACCCATGCAGTTTAAGCCCTTATTGTTCAAGGGTCACCTGTTTTTCTTTTTAAACATTAAGTGTCAAATTCCACTTCCATTTTATTTTATTTTTTAATTTTTTTAATGTTTTATTTATTTCTAGGAGAGAGAGAGAGAGACAGCGTGAGCAGGGGAGGGTCAGAGAGAGAGGGAGTCACAGACTCTGAAACAGGCTCCAGGCTCTGAGCTGGCAGTCAGCACAGAGCCCGACGCGGGGCTCGAACCCATGAACCACAAGATCATGACCTAAGCGAAAGTCGGATGCTTAACCAACTAAGCCACCCAGGCGCCCCTCCACTTCCATTTTAAAAAGTGAGAGTAAAGCCCTGCGTGCTTGATGTAAACTTAAAGGAATATGGCCAAAACACAAAGCCCCAAGTAGGGAGGAGTTTATAAGGGATGGAGCTGAGTTTGTGGCACCTAACTGCCCATAGCTACCTTCCTGTGCCCCATTAAATCTTAGTCCTCTCTTTTGCTTTTCATTGGAAAGTAAGCAAGCCTCATTTATCTAGGTTATAATTTTCACACCTTGTAGGTTTTGATGATATATTGCCAATTACATAGGAGTCTATGTTTAGAAGTGTCAGAAAGCTCAGGAAAGAATGGGAATGCGATGTGTATTCATAGTTTCCCAATTGGTGTGCCATGGTTATAAATGTGTCAAGAGCAAGTTGCTCCCTCAGTCCTTGGGGTAATCAAGCAGGCCTGTGATGACTGGGATCTTGCCTCACTAGGCACCAGCAGCCTCCTCTATTTATGGACCTTCCAAATGATAGCTTTTCCACATATGGCATAAGATGATGGGGAAGTAGTTGTTTTGCAGCAGGATGGATGAGCCCTTTCTCAGGGAATTGTGAGGTTTTGTGGTTTGTAACCATGGTGGAATATTGCTGGGATAGGCTTATAAGAAAAATAGCTCCAGATGCTAGGAACTTTCACACATACCTGATTTCATAGCTAAATATCCAGCAAAACTTTGAAGGCAAAACTAAATTCATTTGATTACAATATTCCAAATTAACTTTGAAAAAGAAAAGGCAGCCTTTGAGCATGTTATTTTTTTCTGATACCATTGTCTGTTCTTCCCATGATACACATTTAGGTTCAATCTGATATTTGATAAGTGTGTTCTTGAAAATTTCTTATGAACTTCTGTGCTCCACTTTAAATTGTCTCATATCATATTACAGGGGCGCCTGGGTGGCTCAGTTGGTTAAGCATCAGACTCTAGATATTGGCTCAGATCATGATCTCACGGCTTGTGAGTTTGAACCCCACATTGGGTTCTGTGTTGACTGTGCAGAGCCTGCTTGGAATTCTCTCTCCCTCCCTCTCTGTCTCTGCCCCTCCCCTACTTTTGCTTGTTCACACACTCTCTCACAAAAGTAAGTAAGTAAATAAATATATCACAAAGTGATTTAGCTATATTCTTACAGATTGCTCTATCATCAAGTTAGTTTTATGATATAAGAAAGCTGAAGTAAGTTTAGTTATTCCTATAAATTTTCCAAATACATTAAACACTTATATTTAGGTTAATCTATTATTAGTAATAGAATATGATGCCTATTATTGGAGGGGCAAGAAAACTCACTGTTTAGCACTAATCTTTTCAATGACTTTTTATAATTCCAGGTTTGTACAGAGACATATGTCATTCATCTTTGGTTATTGGTCAAAATAGGGGGCTTTGAAAATAAACAGTTGAGAACAAAGCTTGTTTGCAATTTTTCTTCCCTCTCTCCCTTCCTGCAGCTCAGCTTTTACTGAGGATATGTTCTCAGTTGTTAACTGGCTTTAGGAGGGTAGGCAGGTTATGATTAATCAGGACGTTATGGCTTTACAAAGCCTCCAATAACTATTTGGTGCTAGGTATAGTTTTACCTTGTGGCTTCCATTTCATCCCATTGTTAGCATTAATTCCTTATTGACTTACACTGTTTAAAAAATTTGAGGTCTCTGGTTTGTTTGGGATATGATGTAAGTACTCCTTTTGGCACTAGGGGGAGGTGTTGCCTCATTCACAGAGTTGTTGAGTTCTCTCTCTGGGTTCTGTTTATAATGACCAGCCACTTAGAACCTACCTTCCTACTTCTTTTCCACCCTGCACAACTTTTGCACAATGCTCAATATCTCCTTGTTACTAAACTGTATCAGTACTTGAAAAGAAACAGTCAATACTCAACACTTTGATCCCCAAGTAATTCCTAGGTATTGTTGTGAAGGCTTCTGAAGCTGAAATAGGAAACTAGGAGATAAGTCTTATTTTCCTGAGGTTCAGAGAGATACAGGGGAGCTGACCTAGGTGGTAGAAGTCCTGGGTTCTGTGAAAGTGGGGCTGGATAACCTCTAGGATTCTGAGATAGATTCCCCTGAATAGGATTTAGCTTCCTCTGCCCATTTTATGCCTGCACCCAACTGGATACATTTCTGGTCTTCTATATGTTTGGAACAGATAACACAAATTTGTATGCTGTGAGCTATGGGACCTTACCACACTACCAGTTGAGGCTTCTTTTTCATTAATACTTTTGTTAAAATTAAATTAACCTGTTAGGGATAACTGAATTTTTATCATTTATGCCATTTTGGGTTTTCTCTCTTATGCCACAGCTTGAGGGAATGGGACACAAAAAAGCAAAGAGAAAGATGTAGCCTAGAGAATTGGGTGCCTCCAAGAAAGATGGGTGGGGTGAGACAGGATGCTATTGTAGAGTTCTTCAGGCAGCCAGAAGTGCCTAAGGAAACGATGACAAAAGAAAATGGCCAGCAGCTGACAGGAAAGTTTTGCCTACTTTTATTTTAAAAAAATTTTTTAATGTTTGTTTATTTTTGAGAGAGAAAGACAGAGCTCAAGTGAGGGAGGGGCAGAGAAAGGGTGGAGACACAGAATCTGAATTAGGCTCCAGGCTCTGAGCTGTCAGTACAGAGCCCAACATGGGGCTCAAACTCACAAGCCATCATGACCTGAGTAGAAGTTGGATGCTTAACCAATTGAGCCACCCAGTTGCCCCTTGCCTACTTTTGCTGAAGGTGAACAGAGTAGTAGGCTCTTAATAGCCAGGGAGAGTAATAATTTAATTATTTCTTAAAATTGACAGATTTCTGGGAAAATATTTTTTGATAGAATCTCTTTTTTCAAAAACCATAAGTAAGTAGCCTGGAAAATGGGGGGAAAATAGAGAATACCCAACAACAAAACTATTCAGCCTTTTATTTTTTTAATATATTTCTTCTGGGTAATCAGTTTTCACTTTTAAATATTTTTGTTGTCCTAAGCCTATTTCCCCATCCTTTTTCAATAGACCTTTGCTCATTAAGAAAAGTAATTGTTTTTCACTGTACTTTTGAGTGTTCAGAATTTACCAACTATTAAGTGTAATTAGCCTTTCAGATACCACACTGTGGCAGTTAAGACTAAATTAATTCATTCATAAAAGAGGTATCTCATGTTTGAACAATGCCCCAAGATACTTTATTTTTTATTTATTTATTTATTTTACAAATAGTTTATTGTCAAATTAGTTTCCACATAACACTCAGTGCTCATCCCCACAAGTGTCCTCCTCCATGCCCATCCCCCCCTCCCCCCCAAATCCATCAGTCCTCAGTTTTTGTCAGCATTCAAGAGTCTCTCATGGTTTGCCTCTCTCCCTTTCCCCCACCATTTCCCCCCTTCTTCTCCCCCTTGTTCCTCCGTCAAGTTCCTCCTAATCCTCCTATACGTGCACACATATGATATTTGTCCTTCTCTGCCTGACTTATTTCGCTCAGCATAACACCCTCAAGGTCCATCCATGTTGCTACACATGGCCAGATTTCATTGTTTCTCATTGCCATGTAGTATTCCATGGTATAGATAAACCACATCTTCTTGATCCATTCATCTGTTGATGGACACTTAGGCTCTTTCCATGTTTTAGCTATTGTGGAGAGTGCTGCTATGAACATTGGGGTTCATGTGCTCCTATGCCTCAGCATTTCTATATCCCTTGGGTAAATTCCTAGCAGTGCTATTGCTGGGTCATAGGGGAGTTCTATTGTTAGTTTCCTGAGGAACCTCCACACTGTTTTCCAGAGGGGCTGTACCAGTTTACATTCCCACCAACAGTGTAGGAGGGTGCCCGTTTCTCCACATCCTCGCCAGCATCTAGAGTTCTCTGATTTGCTCATTTTAGCCACTCTGACTGGCGTGAGGTGGTATCTCAGTGTGGTTTTGATTTGTATTTCCCTGATGAGGATGGATGCTGAGCATCGTTTCATGTGTCTGTTGGCCATCTGGATGTCCTCTTTGGAGAAGTGTCTGTTCATGTCTTCTGCCCATTTCTTCACTGGGTTGTTTGTTTTTCAGGCGTGTAGTTTGGTGAATTCCTTATAGATTCTGGATATTAACCCTTTATCTGATATGTCATTTGCAACTATCTTTTCCCATTCCGTTGGTTGCCTATTAATTTTCTGGGTTGTTTCCTTGGCTGTGCAGAAGCTTTTAATCTTGATGAGGTCCCAATCATTTATTTTTGCTCTTGATTCCCTTGCTTTTGGGGATGTGTCAAGTAAGAAGTTGCTGCGGTGGAGGTCAAGGAGGTTGTTTCCTGCTTTCTCCTCTAGGGTGTTGATAGTTTCCTGTCTCACGTTCAGGTCCTTTATCCATTTTGAGTTGATTTTTGTGCATGGTGTGAGAAAATGATCTAGTTTCATTCTTCTGCATGTTGCTGTCCAGTTCTCCCAACACCATCTGTTAAAAACGCTGTCTTTTTTCCATTGGATATTCTTTCCTGCTTTGTCAAAGATCAGTTGGCTGTATACTTTTGGGTCCACTTCTGAGTCCTCAATTCTGTTCCATTGGTCTATGTGTCTGTTTTTGTGCCTATACCATACTGTCTTGATGATGACAGCTTTGTAGTAGAGGCTAAAGTCTGGGATGGTGATACCTCCCGTTTTGGTTTTATTTTTCAGTATTACTTTGGCTATTCGGGGTCTTTTGTGGTTCCATACAAATTTTAGGATAGTTTGTTCTAGTTTTGAGAAGTATGCTGGTGCAATTTTGATTGGAATTGCATTGAATGTGTAGATTGCTTTTGGTAGTAATGACATTTTAACTATATTTATTCTTCCTATCCATGAGCATGGAATGTTTTTCCATTTCTTTGTGTCTTCTTCAATTTCTTTCATAAGTTTTCTATAGTTTTCATCATACAGATCTCTTGTACAGATGCATTTTTAACTGTTAACAGCAGCACTTTTGAAAATAGCTACTTGATATATGGCTTTGGTTCTTAGACTGTTAAATCTCACTAAATTGTTAATATTGAGAAAGCAAATGATTTCACTTCCCTTATTATTTATTCCTTAAATTCTTTCATTGGGTAAGGTCAGTGGTTATTCTGAATTTCAGGAAAGTTTTGGTCAGTACAAGAAAATCCAGGTAGGCTGATACAGTATTTTGTCTTTGTTTTTCCAGTGATTGCCTTCATGTTGTGGATCCCATGCCTGTGCGTGGGCCTGATGTGGAAGCCTACTGTCTACGCTGTGAATGCAAGTATGAGGAAAGAAGCTCTGTTACAATCAAGGTAAAAAAAAAAAAAAAAAAAAATTCATCTTCTCTGCTTCTAGAATAGTTCTTGATGGTATCTAGACAAGAAAATTTTGGACATCTGGGTTCTATTTTAGTCACTCAACTACTATTCTTCTCTCCCCTCCTCACTACCCACTAACCCCTTCCTTCCTCACCCCCAACACTAACCCCAGAGAAACAGTGGGTCTGCTTTCTGCCTACCTCACTGAGATTCAGCTTTATTAGAACACATTACATAGGGTGTGATATGAAATGGCACAAAAATGTCCTATGTTTACATCCCAAAACATATCCCAACTTTTCTGTGGGCCGTGTTTGCCAGAAGCTAGTGAGAGCACAGCATGACTAGGCCCTCTCTTCCTGCCTTCTCAACCCTTAGGGAAAAAACTTGTATAAATAGACTACTTTGTTCTAGAAATGTCACTCTGGATTCTAAGATTTCCTTTCTTTATTTCCTACAGGAAATAGAATATAGATCACTCTCCTCACCATTTGGACCTCTAATAAATTAAATTACTTTATTATGGTGGCTAACAGCTCTCCTCCCCAATTTTGTACATAGAGCTTCCCATTCATTACCCCTGAGAAAAGACTTTATGAGGAATCTGGGGTGGTCAGTGTAACAATTACAAAGATTTCTGTGGGATAATTTCTGCTGCAGCAGAGTGCTATCTCGTAGAGAAATTCTCACTGTACTTTTTTATTTTTCAACTAAATTTTTGATGTATAATTTATAGAACCTAAAAGTCACTCATTGTAAGTGTATAATTGAATAAATGTTAGGAAATTTTAAACAATTAAAAAATGTTTTTTAAATTTAGTGTTAAGACTTTCTTATCACCCCAAAAAGATCTCTCATGCCTATTTATAGTTAATCTCATTCCCACCCCCTAACCCTTGACAGTCAGTATTCTGCTTTGTGTCTCTACAGATCTGGATATTTCATATGAATAGAATCATACAATATGGGTCTTCTGTGACTGCTTTCTTTCATTTAGCATTTTTTGAGGTTTATCCATGTTGTAGCATGTTATCAGTATTTAATTCCTTTTTATTACTGAATAGCATTTTAGTATATGAATATACCACACTTATATTATCCATTCATTAGTTGATAGACATTTGAGGTATTTCCACATTTTTATTATTATGAATAATGCTATCATAAATATTTGTGCACATGTCTTTGTGTAGATATATGTTTTCCTCTCAAGTAGATTCCTTAGAGAGGTAAGTTTATTTTAACTTTTCAAGAGACTGCCAGAATGTTTTTCAAAGTGGTTGTACCGTTTTACATTCTCACCAGCAATGTATGATCGTTCAGTTTTTCCACATTCTTGCTAACATTTGGCACTGTCTCTAATTATAGTCATTCTAGAGGTGGGGGGAGGGGGAGTCACACTACTTTTTGACAGTATACTAATTAAGATTTCAGGAAAATCACTGACCTGAAGTGTATTTTTGTATATCTAAATTGATCTAAAAGAGTATTCTGTTGAAATTCATCTGACTTACATTTTTTGTTAGGGTTCCTTTAAGTTGTCATAACACAGTGCTGCTGAATCTAGGATACCATCTTCAGGTGAAAAAAGCAAACGGGTGTGCTAGCAGCTGTGACAGATGATTATCAGTAGGTGAAGATGGAACTTCGAAGATTCACAAAAAGATCCCAAAGACAAAATGCTTACTTTCCTTGTACTATTTAAGGAAATAGTTGGTGAAGAGTTGAGTGTGTTTATGTTGGAATCTGGTTTGTATAGGAATCCTTTGTGCTTTGCTGAAAAATCAGTCTTCACTGTGGCTTTATTATTATTATACAAATTTCTGATTTCTTGGCTTGAATAGAGATGTAACTTATTTTCAATTTCCTTTAGGTTACCATTATAATTTATCTCTCCATTTTGGGCCTTCTACTTCTGTACATGGTGTATCTTACCCTGGTTGAGCCCATACTGAAGAGACGCCTGTTTGGACACTCACAATTGATACAGAGCGATGATGATGTTGGGGTAAGTAGTTGGCATGCCCTAGCTGTGTATGGCCAGTCTCTGTCCTCATCTGACATAAAGAGCAAGTCGCATATAGATGTTCATGTGCTGGAGCAGGTCCTCAACTAGAGAAGCCAAGGACTGTTCTGATTTAGTATATGTCTCTTCATGAGGAAAGTGCTCTGTAAAGCCATCAATATGGTAGTTTAAATGGATGGTCTTTGGCGAGTGTGCTGCACAGGGCTTTGCCCCTTAGTATCAAGGGCTCACTTTTTTTTTTCTTTTATAGTTTATTCTCAAGTTGGTTTCCATATAACGCCCAGTGCTCATCCCAACAAGTGCCCTCCTCCATGTCCATCACCCCTTTTCCCCTCTCCTCCACCCCATCAACCCTCAGTTTGTTCTCAGTATTTAGGATTCTCTTGTGGTTTGCCTCCCTCCCTCTCCTTAACTATTTTTTCCCCTTCTTCCATCATCCTCTGTTTTTCTCCTGTTCCACATATGAATGAGAACATATGGTATCTGTCCTCTGCCTGACTTATTTCACTTAGCATAACACCCTCGAGTTCCATCCATGTTGCTACAAATGACCAGATTTCATTGTTTCTCATTGTCATGTAGTATTCCATGGTATAGATAAACCACATCTTCTTGATCCATTCGTCTGTTGATGGACACTTAGGCTCTTTCCATGATTTGGCTATTGTTGAGAGTGCTGCTATGAGCATTGGGGTACATGTGCCCCTCTGCATCAGCACTCCTGTATCCCTTGGGTAAATTCCTAGCAGTGCTATTTCTGGGTCATAGGGGAGTTCTACTATTAATTTTTTGAGGAACCTCCGCACTGTTTTTCAGAACGGCTGCACCAGTTTACATTCCCACCAACAGTATAATAGGGTCAAGGGCACACTTTTCATTGCCTTTCCCTGTTTACACCGAGAAAAACTTCTGAGATAGATTTCTCCCCAAGCTCCTGCCTGAATACCTTTCCTGTCAGCATGACCAAATATATTAGAAGGTAAAGAGGCTTTAATGAAGGGAAGCATGAAGACTATGTTCTTAATGAGGTGCAGCTTGATAACCTGCTGATGTTTTATATTTCTCTTTTCCTCCTTCTAAAAAAAAACTATCATTCCCAATTCTCTTCCTGCCTTCAAAACACATTTATGTTTCTGTACATATAATTGGAATAATCAGTATGTAAATTATTTTCTGGTCCCCTTTTTGTGTTAATATTACTTCATTCAAAAATGTCTAGTAATTGACGTAGTCCACAAACTTGTTATTCAGTATAGCTTAGAGAATATATTATTTTGTCATTATCCTGTTTGGGTTTCTTTCCAAATTTTCCACTATTTCATTATTCTATATATAATTATTTTTAGATATTACTTTTATTTTGGATTACTTTATTGGCCTGTATTCTATAAAATGGATAAAATTCAATAGAGTTTCAAGAGCCAATCCCAAAAGCTAAAGCAAGTGTGAGCCTTTGCCAACCATAGTCAGAAATCCTTTTACTCTGGAATGGCTTGTGGACTTGTTGGTAAAGGATGGGAAGAGGGAATCTTGACTAGATGGCTTGAGTTATAACTACAAACACAGCCTGCTTTTTAATGAATACGTTGTTATCATATGAATACCAATACTCAACTGATTTGGGCAAGATTTCGTTTATGTTTTGTCAAGAACTTTAGTAGAAACACCTCTGTTTGCCTCTTTTTTCCTTGCTTCCTTATTAATTCAACCAACACATAATGAGTAACCTTTCCGTGTCAGGTCCTCTGCTAGGGACTAGGAATAAAGAGATGAATGAAACAGAGACAGACACTTAAAAGAAATGACTAATTATAGTACATTTCCACCTTTTATTTTTAATCATGTAAGAAATGCCTATTTACTTTTTAAGAATTTGAGGCAAAGAGTGATAGGCCGGGAGAAAGGTCAAGACTGGAGATCTGATGTCAAAAACTAGGCATATGGGGCTAATAGGGCAAGAGAGCTAGAAGCACAGGAGGTTGTACTAGAAGCATTAGAGTCTCAAATACTGTTCCCATGTTACTTTTTATTCACATATGACAGATTTTCTCTGCTTCAACAGTATTGACATTTTGGGTTGGATACTTCTTTGTTGTGGGGTCTTGTCCTGTCCATGGTAAGGTACTTAGCAGCATCCCTGATCTCTACACCCTAGATTCATCGCAATCATGATGATCAGAAATGTCCACAGATATTAGCAAATGTCTCTGTGGGGGGCAAAATCACTCCCAGTTGGGAACTAACATATGAAAATATTATGTATCAAAGCTCACATAAACCATTTCATAATAGGCACACAGATAGATAGAAAATCTGACTTAAACTATATTCTTTGCAGTATAAAATATCTGGCTCCTGATTTTAGAAATAATATAACACATATAGAACATACAAGAAATGGATGCACAAATGTGTAGAAGAAAACATGTAGGAAAGTCGTGTGATTGGTAGGGTCATGTGCTTAATAACCATTTTGTTCACCATCTTAACTGAAAACATGGTGTCTGAGAGGTCTGGCTAACTCTTGGATACCTATTGAATTGATTCTGGGCAGAAAGCCTCCAGCTGTGAATTTATGGTAACAAGTCTGTACAAACAGAAGTTAAATTTAAATTCCTATAGTTGTTGCTTATCTAACATGAGGGTTCTTAACTATTTATGTGCTTTTAAAAATGCTTTATTAAATTCTCAGTTAAATTCTTTTATTTTTTCTATTTTTGCTCACTGTAGAGAATTTTAAATTAAGTGAGAGTTGGTATAAATAGTTAAGAAGCTCACTGCAAGTAGTCACAATATTTATCGTATCATGTATCCATGACACATCATTGCTATTATCAAAGCATTGCATTAAAACGTGTTTTGTATTTATTGTAATTTTATCAGGTGTAAAAAGAATAAACATATAAAAGGGATAAATCTCTATTTGCATTCTCCCGGCATCCATGACCATGAGCAGCTAGTTCAATCTTGTTCTGATAAGGTGGAGAACAGACCAAAAGGATTAACTGGTTTGTTTAGTCCTTTAAATTTCTCCCTTAGGAAGGTTTTTCTCCTCCTACCTTGAAGGGTAGATAACAGGACTATGAAATTGAGAGCTGCTCTGCTGATAAAGTACATCCTTCTTCCCAGATTGTTTAGGTCAAAACAAACCGATGGTAATACTATTTTATATACAAGTTCATTGAAGCACCATATTCCCATAGAGTCATTTTAATCTACTTGAACAAAATCAGTGTGTAAAGATGATATAACACCAAGTCAAGGTTAGGTGAGGTAAGCCTTGTGTTGGTTTGTTACATGACCTCAGATCAGTGTATTTCAAGTAATCCAATAACTTTAGCCTTCCTCGTTCTTGACCTTTTTTCTTACATCTTTGAAACATTTTGAACTTTATGGAATATGTTTTTATTATTTTTATTTGTAAGGTTAAAAAATTTTTTAAAGGGGGGCGCCTGGGTGGCTCATTCGGTTAAGCGTCCGTCTTCGGCTCAGGTCATGATCTTATGGTTCGTGTGTTCGAGCCCCACGTTGGGCTCTGTGCTGACAACTAGCTCAGAGCCTGGAGCCTGCTTCAGATTCTGTATCTCTCTCTCTCTCTGACCCTCCCCTGCATGCTTTCTCTCTCTCTCTCTCAGAAATAAATAAAACATTTTAAAAAATTTTAAAGGACAGGGGGCTTGCTGTTTGCCTTTGTTTTAACAAGCTGTTACCTAAAGTAATGAAAAGTTGAGGCAGTTTTGGCAGAGAAGGCAAGGAGAAAGATTGATTATAGAAAACTCTTTGATGTCTTTGAAACCTAGACATTTTATGAGTGTCTTCCTATAAAAAGAAGACCAGGTGTTATAACTCCACATAGTGAAAGATGTGTATATAGTTAATGTGGTTATAGCTTTCTATAGATGTGCTGACTCCCGCCCAGATACATGATGGAGCTTTTGCAAACATCCACGGCAAAACAGTATTTCTTTCTTTGAGGCAAGGTTTAATGAGAGAGGTACAACTTGTGACTTGGATCCTATGTTGGAACATTTAGAAGCTTTGCTAACACAGGGTCCAGGAAGAAGATCAAGGAAAAGGCAAACAAAAAGCAATGAATTAGTATTGAATGCTTTTTGTCATCTAGGCAGCTGTGTTTATATCAAATTCATAGATAGATTAGCATAGTTGTTTCCTGTGTAATGACTACAAACATCAGTGGCATTGGTTTACTTTCACCAGGATAGCTTGGTTTTCTACAGGTACCTAAGTAACCCTTCAGTAGCCTCTTTCTGAAGGCAGCAACTAACATGGAAGCCCCTGAGTGCTCAGTAGTGAAAGATTTGAGTATTTATCAAATAAAAAGGGTGAAATAATGATTTCCTACTGTCTTTGGTAATAGATGGTAATTGTAGCCCTTGAGCTATGTCTCTTTTCGTTACAGATTGGGGGAGGGGGAATGAAAAGGATTTGGGAAACCAGTCCATTTAGTGTATGTGTTAAAAATGCAGGGAACTATTAAAACCAGCCAAGTTAAGATCCTATCAACTCCTCTCCCAAGGATGAATGTGGTTCCAAGCTGGCAAGTAACAATTCTAATGTAATGGGAATCAGGAAAGTAAAAGACCAATCTTTTCTCTGCCTGATTAACTATAAAGTATTGAATAAAGCAAGGAAAAGTCCTGCTTTCCATATCTGTAACATGTAGATATTAATGTGAAAATGGATTTTCCTTCCCCTACTTGTCAGGGAAAGCTTGTCTTTAACATAAATGACCACTGTCTTTGTCTTAGTCCCTGCTTTTCATGGGAACTGTCTTTGGAAATGGTGACATTTCACAAATACCTCCTTGTCACTCATACTACTTGCACCCCATTACTGTAATCGAGTTCATCCTACTTCTGGCACTTGGGCGCCTAAGAGTGCTTGGCCAAAGAGATGGTCTGTTTGTAAAGTCCAGCTGCTCCTCTCTCTGTGGCTGGATAATTGCTGTTTTGTGTGTGTGTTTCACACTATCATGCCATCTCTGATCTTCTCCATTCCTGCACTTTCAGGATCACCAGCCTTTTGCAAATGCCCATGATGTGCTAGCCCGCTCCCGCAGTCGAGCCAATGTGCTGAATAAGGTAGAGTATGCCCAGCAGCGCTGGAAGCTTCAAGTTCAGGAGCAGCGAAAATCCGTCTTTGACCGTCATGTTGTCCTCAGCTAATTGGAAATCATACCGAAGGTGATTAGAAAGAAATGAGGCAAACAACTGAAAAATATTGACTGAGTATTCCTGGGTTTTGTTTTAATACCCTGTTGATTTCACCAACTTTTGCTGGGAAATTCAGCATTGGAAACAAAAATGTGCTTGGTATTTTCCTTTCTTGTTAAGGTATTAATACAGACATTTTTTAAAAGCACACACCTCAGAGTCAGCCAATAAACCTTTTTCCTATTTGTGACTTTTACTAATAAAAAATAAGTCGGCCTGTAAATTATCTTGAAGTCCTTTACCCAGAACAAATACTCTCTTTTTCACCATGCAGTTTTAACTTGGTTTTCAAGATAATTTTCAGGTGTTGTTTTGTTTTGATTTGTCTTTCTGGCAGGGAAGAGGAGGGGTGTGTGGGAAGTGGTTAGCATAACTTTTCTCAAGTCACTTTACTAAACAAACTTTTGTAAATAGACTTAACATTCTATTTTCAAGTTTCATTTATATTTTGCAGTGTAGCCAGCCTCATCAAAGCCCTGACTTACCCATTTGAATTTTGCACTGACTATATTATCTAGGTATCTGGTTCGCCTGTGGCTGCACTTCATGGTAAAGTGGATCTGAAACACCTGGTGGCTCTTCATAAAATGCAGATTTTCCTCATGTACTGTGATGTCTGATGCAATGCATCCTAGGACAAACTGGCAATTTGCTAGTTTACTCTAATGACTAAACATAGTCTGGTGTGTGTGGTCTTTCTCATCTTCTTCTAGTATCTTTAAGGATGAATGCTAAGAACTTGGACACTTGCAATAAAGGAATTTTCTTTTAACCCGAAGCCTCTCTGGATTGGTGACATACACACCTTTGTCTACATTTCCGGTCAGATAGAGAGGCAGCTGTTTGAGCTCTACTGTATGCTGGGGTTCTGGGGGCCTCCTTCTGAAATGTGTTAACAGTTATTGGATAACTGGCTTTTTTCTTTGGACATCCTCTTTTGGAATGTAACAATAAAAATAATTTTTGAAACACTTACCAGTGTGTCTTTGTCTCCTAACTTTTCTTTCCTCTTTCATTTGCTGCATGATAAACTTGAAGATACAAAGACATTTGGTATCCTGTTATGAGACTGTTTTATGACAGTTTAATTATTTTTTTTAATGTTTTATTTATTTCTAGGAGAGAGAGAGAGACAGCGTGAGCAGGGGACGGTCAGAGAGAGAGGGAGTCACAGACTGAAACAGGCTCCAGGCTCTGAGCTGGCAGTCAGCACAGAGCACGAACCGCGAGGTCATGACCCAAGCGAAAGTCGGACGTTTAACTGACTAAGCCACCCAGGCGCCCCTATGACAGTTTAATTATAAAGTATCGATACTAAATTGTGTGTGTGTGTGTGTGTGTGTGTGTGTGTGTGTGTGTGTGTAGAAAAAGGGAGAAAGAGAAAATGTATGGGTACTTAGACGGGGCTCTGAAAGTATACAAATATTTTGACAAATTGAGAGATTAAAAGTCATGAAAACACACGAAGGAATCCTTTTTCTAAGAAATTCTTGGCAAAAATGATAATTAAATTAATAAGGCCAAGGTTTTAGGAGCTCTTAATGGTTTTTTTAGCTAATCAAAAACATTTTTTGAACCTACAAACCTAACCTAGACTTACTGATTTTATTGTTAGTATTAAAAGATATAAGCTCAACTACAACCAAGTGGAATTTCTCACTGATAAATGAGATAAATGCAAGGCTGATTGAACATTGAAAAATCAATTAATGAAATCTATCACAGCAACAGGCTAAAGAAGAAAAATGACATGATCCTATCAATAGATGCAGAAAAAACATTTGACACAATTCAAAACCCATTTATGATAAAAACTCTTGGTACACTAGGAATAGAGGAGAAATCCTTCAGATTTATAAAGAACATCTACAGAAACCTATAGCTAACATACTTCATAGAAACCAGAAGCTTTCCTATTAACCAGGAACAAGGCAAAGATACTGTATCCTCTCTCATCACTTCCTGATTTTCAACATCATACTGCAAATTCTAGCTAATACAATAGTAAGAAAAGTATGGATTGGGAAGGAAGAAATAAAACAGCTTAGATGATATGATTGCTTATAAAATCCAAAAGAATTAGCAAAACAAAACTATCCATGGATATGACAACTCAATTGACAAGATGTCAGTTCTTCCTAATGATCTATAGATTCAACACAATCCCAGCCCAGATCTCAGCAAATTATTCTGTAGATATCAACAAACTGATTCTAAAGTTTATATGAAAAGGCAAAAGACCCAGAAAAGCCAACACAATATTAATGGAAAAGAACAAAGTTGAAGGACTGACGTATCTGACTCTAAGACTTACTATAAATCTACAGTAATCAGTGTCAGTATGGTATTGACAAAAGAATAGACAGATGAATAGAACAGAGAGCCCAGAAATAGACCCACACAAACATAGTTAACTAATCTTGACAAAGGAACAAAGGCAATACAATGGAAAAAAGCGTTTTCAACAAATGATGCTGGAACAATTGTATATCCACATGCAAAAATAAGACAAATACTAGATACAGACCTGAGACTCTACAAAAAATTAAAATAGATCATAGAGCTAAATGTAAAACAAAATTAAAATGCCTAGAAGATAACATAGAAGAAAATCTAGATGACCTTTGGTCATAACTTTTTAGATAAAACACTAAAATCATGAATCATGAAAGAAGTAATGATAAGTTGGAGTTCATTAAAATTAAAAACTTGTGCTCTGTGAAAGACACTACCAAAAGAACAAGCAGATGAACCACAGACTTGGAGAAAATATTTGCAAAAGACATATCTGATAAAATTCTATTATCCAAAATCTACAAAGAACTCGTAAAACTCAACAGGAAGATGAATTTAAAAACTGGGCCAAACACCTGAACAGATTATCTCACCAAAGAAAATATACAGATGGCAAGTAATTATATGAAAAGATGCTCTACATCATGTCATTAGGGACATACAAATTAAAACAACAATGAGTTACCACTACACACTATTAGAATGGCCAAAATCCAGAACACTGACAACACCAAATGCTGATGTGGATGTGGAGCAACAGGAACTCTCCTTCATTGCTAGTGGGAATTCAAAATGGTACAGCCACTTTGGAAAACAGTTTGGCAATTTCTTAACAAAACTAAACATGGACTTGTTATATGATCCAGTAATCACACTCCTTGGTATTTGCGTAAATAAGTTGAAATCTTATCTCCACACAAAAACCTGCCCACGGATGGTTATAGCAGCTTTATTCATAATTCCCAAAACTTGGATGCAACTAAGATGTCTTTTGGTAGGTTAATGGATAAGTAAACTGTGATACACCCAGACAATGGAATATTATTCATCACTAAAAAGAGATGTTATCATGCCATAAAAATACATGGAGGGACCTTAAATGTATATTACTAAGTGAAAAAGGCCAATCTGAAAAGGATATATGCTATGATTCCAAGTATCTGACAGCTGGAAAAGGCAAAACTAGGGAGGCAGTAAAAAAAAAAAAAAAAAAAAAAAAAAAAAAAAAAAAAAAAAAAAAAAATCAGTGGTTGTTAGGGGATGGAGGGATGAAAAAGGTGAAACATAGAGGCTTTTTAGAGCAGCAAGACGATTCTGTATGATACTGTAATGGTGGATGCATGTCATTAAACATTCGTTAAAACCCATAGAAGTACAACACCAAGAGTGAACTCTAAGGTTAACTATGGACTTTGATGAAGTGTCAATATTGTTTCATCTATTGTAAGAAATATATTACTGGGGCCAGTGGGGGAGGATGTACAAGTGCAGGGAAATGATCATATGGGATCTTTGTACTTTCTGCTCAATTTTGCTGTGCATCTAAAATTACTCTAATAAGTTCTAAATTAGAGGAAAATATAATAGGTATCTTTTTTAATTTGTTTAAGTTTATTTTTTTATAGTTTATTGTCAAGTTGGTTTCCATATAACACCCAGTGCTCATCCCTACAAGTGCCCTCCTCCATGCCCATAACCTCTCTTCCCCTCCCCCCAAACCCCATCAGTCCTCAGTTTGTTCTCAGCATTCAGAGTCTCTCATGGTTTGCCTCCCTCCCTCTCCCCAACTATTTTACCCCCTTCTTCTCCCCCACGGTCCTCCGTTAAGTTCCTCCTAATCCTCCTATACGAGCAAACATATGGTATCTGTCCTTCTCTGCCTGACTTATTTCACTCAGCATAAGTTATCTTAACAAAATTCATTAAGTTTATATTTAGGTTCATGTTTACCTTCCTGGTTATAGCCTTAATCTCTATTTAAAAGAATATTGACCAACATTGTGAGACTATTACCTAAAGATATTTTTCATAAATAATTTTTATAGAAAATCATATAAATCAGATGAATGGGAGGCATTTTTTTTAGAAAATAATTTGATATAAGAGTCCAGTTTTGTAAGCAAACCTTTCTACTTAATATTGTTATGTGTTGTCATATCTACATATTAGGTAGAAAAAAACAGCTAAACCAGAACTAAGCAGTTCTGTTTAACTGTAAGCTACTTTGCATACAGTTACTAAATGATCACCTATAAATCAGGTTAAGTCTGACACAGCCCAAAATACAGCATCTTAGCTACAAAACAGGTAAGAGACTCTTCTCCAGAGTGGCCCACAGGGGGAGAATAAGAATGTGGCCTTTAAGAAAATTCCCAGGCACAGTTGGTAAATGATGAATTTTATCAGCTGATTATTCCATTGTTTTTAACTATCAAATAAGCCCATATATTGAAAGATCCAGATTTTGCTGGTGATTAAATCTGGAAGAGTGGAAAGGGTTTGGTTTGGAAATCAGGAGACCTAGGTTCTGTCCCTTCCTCTGCTATGAGCTCTGCAAGCTAAGCCAACTCACAACCTATAAGAGATTAGATAGGAGGATTTCTAAGATTCCTTCCATCCCTAAAATTCCATAAATCAATTAGATGTGCAGTTGTAGCTTTTTTTTTTTTACAGGCTAGATATTTTTAATGTCTTTGAAAAGTTGAGGTTTTTATGCTCAGCAGAACTACCAGAATCTCTTAGGATTTTATCATTAAGACCTCATCATTTATTTCCCAGAAGACAGAAATCTGAGATTTTCCCATTTGTTAGCTGTGCATGTATCTGGAGCTGCAAAGCCCCAGCACCAATAATCTGTGTTGCTTTCTTTTAAAAATTTGTACTCCATTTCTATGAACACTTTCATCCTCCAGTCAGCTTCCTATCTTGATCCTCTTCTTTACTACATTTATCATTCTATCACTCTGTTGTGTTGTGATTAAATTTTCTTCCTTGAGTAAAAGAGGATCCTGTTTCAATGCTACTGCATTCATTAGTGAACTTTGGGGAAATGCTCAGTAAAAAAAAAAAAAAAAAAAAAAAAAAAGCTGCTTGACAGCGTGTCTACAGAGACATCAAGCTCTTTTTCTAAGAATTATGCATAGTCTAGTTAAAGCCTAGAAACTTTCAAGTACCTGTGCGATATGTAAATTACTCAGATTCATCTGGGTCAAGTTTTAAGACATTAAAATTACTTGTCAGGGTAAAACCATACCTACAGAATTCTTGTGTGTAATCGGCTTTGGGGACAGCTACTTTACATTTTGATTCTCTATCGTGTCAGTTCTGGCTTTTTAGCCATAGGCTCTGCTGTTCTCAGAAATGTAGAAATACAGACTCCATACCCACTGTGCCATTTTTGTAGCTTCTGCCATCCATGTTCTTTATCTCTTACCATCTGGAATTCTTGCCTTGGGAATTTCCTAACTTTTCTCTAGTAACTTTTTATTTTTGATAGAATCTTGGCTAGTTTTTAGTCTTCAAGAGATGTTTGTTTTATGTTAGTTATTTTAAGCCAATTTGGTCAGTAATTTGGAATCTTTCCTTTTTTGTTCCTTTGTTTTGATTTTTAATTGCGCCTACACACTTGTCTCACCCCTGCCCCTACCACAACCCTGTATTTGGAAGAGCTTTTCCTGGCATTTGCTCCCTTCCAGGGTGTTTCACCATGACTTCTCACAGCACTCTTCGCTTCTCACCCTCTCCACCCCTCACCCTCCATCCCCCATGACGTACTGCCCTCTGTGATTTTTGTCCTTCAGTAGCCATAGGATAGGCTTTTTCACACTTTACTTTAAAATAATACACTTCATTAAGGGTGCCTGGGTGGCTCAGTTGGGTTAAGCCTAAGACTCTTGATCTCAGCTCAGTTTTTGATTCTCAAGGTTGTGAGTTCAAGGCCCAGATTGGAATCTTGGGCTGGGTGTGAAACCTACTTAAAAAGAAAGAAAAGAAAAGAAAAGAAAAGAAAGTGCATGCACTTGAATTCTAGTGCTTTGAGGCTACTCCACCCATTACATGGTATAGCTTGCAAGTTGTTGCTATGCTCGGGTAGAGAAGCAAGTGAAATATTACCTAATCTCGCTCATAAACAGGGCTGAGGTTTTTCAGGGGAGAGGAAGTTGCCTCTTTTTCTTTACACATGCCAAGCATAGAGGTCAAGCCCTCATTCCTAAAGATGTTTTAAAATCACATCCCTGAGAAATTAACATAAAGCCATATTTCCCTCTTTTCTGGAGGCCCACAGGTAGCTTTCATGTTGCTTTTCCATTTTAGGTATGGTCATCTCTCAACAAATATGCTTTAGATAGGTCAGTGTTTGATTTTCCAGCATTAGGGAAAATATAAGCCAGGTTTTTCTGTAAGCTGCAATTTAGAAAGGGCCACTGCACAAGTATTTGTCTATAAAGAAAAGAAAGAGGAAAATAACTGATGCCCGTACAGTATATATATTTTTTCATTTGATCCTCACAGTCACCCTGCAGAGCAGTTAATACCTCAGTTGATCATAGGAAAAAACTGAAGCTCCGAAAGGTTAAGAAGCTTGCCTAAGGACACACAGCTAGGACGGGGCAAAGCCAAGATTGAAACTCAAGGGTGTTATAATCGAAAGGAAAAGTGCTCTTTTCCTACACCACTACCATACCTCCCAGTTAACTGGTTACACTGCAGTATCCCTGTAAAATCTGCTGTGGCTTTATTATTATAGTCAAAGGCAAAAAGTAATGGTTATTTAATAAATGAGGTGCATGAAGACCTATTCAGAAAAAAAGGAATGTATTAGTGTGGGACCTCTTGGGTATAATGATTTATCCTTATGTTCCATTAAAAAAAAATCCACCTAAATACAGATGTACTTCATTCAATATAGTTAAAGTTCTGTGTAAGTAAAAATATGTAAATTGACCATGTTTTAAGTGTATTAGGGGAATTTCTTATTTAAAAGAATCTTAAAGTGAATTTTTCAGAGCAAAATGATTCCTTTCTTACTTTTAAAAATATTTTTTATTTTGCCCCGGCATATCAGGTATTATTTAAGATGGCTATGCCCATGAGGTTGCATGATCATTAACTCGTTTGTAATGTCTCCAGCATTTATTTGAATATTGTGGTATTTCAGTGTTTCCCAAACTTTACTTATTTGCATTGCATGCACTTTCAGGGTCTTCATTATCTGTATTCCACCTGTACTATTGTTTACTTACTACTTTTCTTTAAGTGAGGTTTTTGACTCAAGCAGATGTGTTTTTAAAAGAAATTTTATATCTGCCATAAATGTGAAATCAGTATAATTCGCAATTAATAGAAATTAACAGCAAACTATTATTAAATCCTAAATAGATACTATTGCTTGTTGAAGGCTTCCATCTGAGAAGAATCAGAAAGGATTCTAGTAGTGTGGAAGACACACTCCTACAAGACTAAAGCTGTGTCTTTGTAATCACAAGGATAGAAAGAGCTGGAAAGGAATAACTTTCTTATAAAGTGAGTCAATGTTAGTTAATGCTGTTTCCCTGTATCACCAAAAAATCCTCTCTTCCTACCCAGAGTATTAAAACCGCATATCGTTTTCAGAATGAGCTCAGAAACTATGCATCAAAGCAGAGAAGTCTTTAAACCAATGATCTCTGAGAAAGTCGATGATATCTGCTCTCTTTTGATCTGGCCAAATTAATAAACTTGGTTATGTTTCCAGGCTAAAGAGGAAATGATGGACAATCGAAGCTACTCTAATCTGCCAGAAAAACTGCCTGTCTTCTCTGATTCTGGCCACTTGCCGCTGACCAGGTCCTTCTACCTGGACCCCTTGGTCACTTTCCACCTATATCCTGATGCCCCGGTACCGTCTCCCTTCTCTGAAGACCTGCCATTACTGCCTTTTCCCAGTGATTCCCTGATCATGGAAAATTATGGTGAACCCTGCTCCTTCTCCTTCCCCATGCCTTATCCAAATTATAGAAGGTGTGAATACGCCTATGGGCCGGCCTTCATCCGGAAAAGGAATGAGCGGGAAAGGCAGAGGGTAAAGTGTGTCAATGAAGGCTATGCCCAACTCCGACATCATCTGCCAGAAGAGTACTTGGAGAAACGACTCAGCAAAGTGGAAACCCTCAGAGCTGCTATCAAGTACATTAATTACCTGCAGTCTCTTCTGTACCCTGATAAGGCTGAGACCAAGAATAACCCCGAGAAAGTTTCCTCCCTAATGGCAACCACCAACTGCCACAGTGACCCCATTTTTAGAATGATTTGATTCTAAATAGAAACAAATAATTTTACAAAATGGAGTCTCTAACAGCATCATTCAATAGTTTTTCCTAAATGTAATCTGCACAGGCAAATAACAGCTCAAATGTTAACCTATGCTGGCTATTTCTTACCGGGGTTTCAGATGTATGACACATTACCTTATGTGGATTGAGAAGATGCGGCTTAGGCTTTGGTGATTTGTTTCAAGAACTTTAGAGGAGCAGAAGTCCCCAGGATTCCCTATACGTCTCCGCTCGCCCTTCTCACGCACTTGACCAGAGTCTCAGCTGTGAGACACTCTCACAAATGTATTGTAAAGTATGGCTAATGACTGCTCAATGCTTGTAATGCACTTTGCAGACAACTTCATGTGAAACAATCACAATGAACCTCTCTTGACTTTCAGAGTTTGGTGGGTTTTATTACTGTAATTTGGGGTTAACAGGAAATCTATACATCTCTATCTTACTGATGTCCTGATGGGAAATGTGCCAGGGAAATGTCCTGATGGGCTGAGGCAAAGGGAGTTAACAAAATCTTGTTGTCATTTGAAATTATTTTAGAGTCATCTCTTCCCCACATGCAGAAGGCTTCCTCAGGCAGCCGAGTATAGGGGTTAAGAAGGCATTCTCTGAAATCAAACTGCCTCAGTTTAAACTAGGACTTTGCTACCTCCTTTCCATGTCTCATTTCTTCATCCACAGAGTGAGAATAATAACAGACAGCTATCCCCTATGTTTATTAGGAGAATTAACAGTGTCTGACACAGAAATATTCATAAACATTACTATTATTATTTTTTAAACTTTTAAAAAGTTTATTTATTTATTTTGAAAAAGACAGAGAGAAGGAGGAAGGGGCAAAGAGAGGGAGAATCTCAAGCAGGGTTGGCACTCCCAGCACAGAGCCTGATGCGGGGCTTGAACTCAGAAACTGTGAGATCATGACTGAGCCGAAATCAAGAGCCAGACACTTAACAGACTGAGCCACCCAGGTACCCCATTACTATTACTATTATTAACCTTGTTTTGTCCATAGCATCACCATTCTCCAGGTTCTCCTGGCCAAAAAATATCAGGTGCCATGCCTTTCCTTCATCCCTGGGAAGGACTGTTACTGCCCTAAATCTTGGAGTCTGCCTCCAAAATATCTCTATTTCCATGACTAGTGTCAGCTCTTCCTTCTCCCTTAACTCCCAGGTCCCATCCATCATCAAGCCCAGTAAGGACTTTCCATACTCTGGTACATTCATCTCTACTGTCATCTCTGTAACGTTTTCCCACTCCAGTCATTACTCGTTGATTTATTTTGTATGAAGTTCCTTCAAGGAACCTCTCCTATCTTTACACACTGCATAAACACACCTATCTCTTCAGTAGACTGGTCTTATTCCTCCAACATTGCTAGCACCCAGCAAAGAGCCTCAAATCAGGTGGGTGTTGCGGGTAAATATTCGGTGTTACTGTTTTCCTATTCCAATCCTGTCATGTTATATCTGAGTCACTGGTAACAGTCTCCTTCCCTGGCATCCTGGGCTCTATTCTTAACTGGCTGCATTCTCACTCTGGTGTTTTTTCTTCAAGCATTTCATATCACTTCATTGCACAAAGGTGTCAAGACCCTATGACGTCTCCCCTTTGACCACCATTTTATTCACATGTATCTTTTTGGTTTTCAAAACCCCCACCAATCTGGCCCCTTCCCAAATAGTCACATCTTGATTTTCTGATGACACCCCATTTCCTCCAAAAGAGAAAAGCAGTCTTGCAAAGGCGTCCTTCTCTCTTAGCTTTTGACTCCTAAACTGGAATATTCTCCTTTCTCCCATCATCATTGAAATCCCACCTGTGTTATTCAGAAGTCCTCCTCTCACTGCCAGAGACTCCGTTGGCCTTTTCTGGACTCTAACTTTGTGTACCAAAGAACTCAGCCTTTAGGTATGTGGTCCTTAGCAAGAGTTATTCTCCTGACTACCAAGTTGTGCTCTGTGAGGGCAGTAATCAGTTAAGATGCATTTGGTTGCAAGAAAGAGAAAATCCAATCCAAATTTATACAATCAGTAAAGGCTCACATAACTGAAGCATCTAGCAATAGGGCTGCCTTCAGTCAGGTCTCAACAATGTCACCAAGAACCTGTTTTGTTTAGGTCTATCCTCCCTTTTCTCTGAGAATAGCTTCGGTATCCCCAAAAGGCAGCCAGAAGCCCCTAGAACAATTTATTTTCTTATTTATGTATAGAAGGAAAGAGAAAGTCTATAATCCAGAATTCCCAACAAAAATCTTGGGATTTATTCTGATTGGAGAGGCTCAGGAACACGCCCTTTCTTTCTTTCTTTTTTTTTTTTTAAAGTGCAGGCATTTTCTTTTCTTTTTTTAAATATATTTTTTTTAAATATTTTTATTTATTTCTACGAGAGAGAGAGAGACAGTGTGAGCAGGGGAGGGTCAGAGAGAGAGGGAGACACAGACTCTGAAACAGACTCCAGGCTCTGAGCTGGCAGTCAGCACAGAGCCCGACGCGGGGCTCGAACCCACGAACCGCGAGATCATGACCTAAGCGAAAGTCGGACGCTCAACCGACTAAGCCACCCAGGCGCCCCAGGAACATGCCCATTCTTAACCAAACCCCAGGAGCAGAGCATGGGAATGAAATGTGCTGATTGACTCTCGTTCTAGCTGTGGAGGTGGGGGTGTGGTCAGCTTCTCCTAATCACGTGCGTCTGCAAATGGAAATGGGAACTGTTGGAAGAGGGGAAGGAGAGAAACCCCTGCAAATGTCCCTACATACTTTTTCCGTATTCTCCCCTGAACACAGTGCCAGGCACATAATCGGTGCACAATGGCTGTCCCGTGCCTTAAACACCAGCCTCTCCCATGGACATTCAAATAAGTACAGCATCCAAACTAGTGTCCACGCCCATCACCCCCAAGTGGTCACCACATCTCTGCTCTTCAGCAGGGTCCTTTCTGTTACGGACAAGATATGCCCCCATCTTTGGTTATTTTGCTTTAAACTACAGATAAGTTCCATCTTAGCGTCTTTTGGCCAGCCAGTGGCCTACCCGACCTGGTCTCCGCCTGCACAAGGTGGAGGCAGATCAGTAGCCCCTAGTCTCTGTAGGGGCAGCTCCCTCCCTCACAGGACTCCCCTGGATTCAGGAGGGTTTCCCACCATGACTGCCTCTTCCAGCAGTGGAAAAGTCTGAGCTTTGGGGAACTGAGGCTGCAATGACCTTTCTCTCCAATACCCTTTCTCCCCCTCTTCCAAGAGAAACCCTCTTCTCCCTCACCCTGCCGATGTCTCCCAAGACCCTTTGCCACCCCTGTGCACATGCTCAGTACACTCAGTCCACAGCATTCCTGCTGCCTCACATCCATGACAACCTGCTTGGCAACCAGGAGTCTGTTGGGCTGAGGCTCTGAGCTCCAACTGTCAGAACGGACTCAGGCTGCGGTGGAGGAGTTTGGGGCTGTGAGTAAGTCCCCATGGGGTCAGCCCTATGGGCTTGGGCAGGGGCAGACCTTAACAGAGCTCTGGTGGGCTGGGGCAATGCAGTGTGGTCTTGGGACCTGGGTGGCAGCTGTCACCTCTGAACAGGTCTTTGGAGTACACAACCCTGGGATCTCAGCTTGGCCTGGTGCAAGAGTTAGTCCTGTAGGCCATTAGGCTAGGAAGGGAGTCTGTGGCTTAGGATAGGGGTCAGTTTGTAATCAGGGTTAGGCCAGCCATATTTGTATTGTTTTACCTCTGGGAGTCCCTACACCTGGGGAGAAGGAAAAAACATGCATTGAGCTACTTATATGCCAGGTTCATTCCACATATTCTCTCCTGCACCATAACTGAAGCGCAGTGGTGGCGTGAGCACGCAGCCTGCAAGCTGTGGAGGATTTAAAGATCGGCTTGTCTAAAGTCACAACTCTTGCCCTTTCAATCCCTGCTGTATCTCCTGAGCCGAGGTTCCCGAGGCAGGTGATTCAGAGAACAGTCTGTGGGAGCAGTTGGAAGCTGCTGAATGGCAGAACTGAGCCCTGCTCCAGCCAGGTGCCCTCTGTAGTGCCGTGGGCTGCAACTCAGGTAATGGTGGTGCTTGTTCTCAGGTGGTTTCTCTGAAGGCCATGGAATCCTCTGCAGGGCCCGGGATGCCTTTGCCCAAATACTGCAGTGTGGTCGCAACCCTGAAGTCCCCGTCCTGGGCTGGTGCTGCTCCTTGCTGGGACTTCTTCACCTGCCCCTTTGCTGTCCAGGTACCCTGGCTCAGCCGGCACATCCCCCTCACCAGGTACTACTCTCTGCTTCTCCGGCGGAAGTGACGTGCACCCCCACCCCTACCTGTTGTTCCCCTCTGGTCTTGTCTTTCGATGGCATACCATGAGGGAGACCATTTGCTTCCTGGGAAGGCTGAAAGGGCTCTTCACTGGGTGGGCTTGGGGTATTATGTCACTCGTGTCTGAACTGTGCTCCGTGTAGCACCTAGTAGAGAGTGGCAGGTGGCAGGATTAGACGTGGAAGAGAAGGAAGTCAGGTGTTCACCAGTTAAAGGGTTTCTAACTCAGTTTACCATCAACCAGAAGACTTGCCCTGGCACAATGTGAGAAATTAGGGTTTCTGCAACCAACAGGTAAGGCAAGGGTCTCCAGGTCCCTCCACAAGTCCCCTCAGTATCCCTCAGTTATCCTGGCCTTTCCTGACTAGTTTCCTCCGTGGGCTGTCTAAAGTGTGATTGCAGAAGGGAAAGGGAGCTCAGCCCTCAAGCACACACAAGTGGGGTCAGTTCCAGGGACTCACTTGTGTCTGTGACACTCGGTTCTGTTCTACCCAGGTTAGGGACATGCCAACTTGAACCCTTAATAGCCCGGCTTTCTGGATTCAGCTATGTGGACCGTCTCATTCAAAGCCAGAGTTAAGCATCCCTGTATCCAGGCTTGCCCACAAAGTAGCTGCTTCAGAAACCCATGCCCGGACTCAACCATTCCACACCCCTGGTTTGGCCGTGTCCACAAAGCTTTTCGGGAGTAGCTTCTCCTTTATTTCTGTCTCTCGGGTCCTTAGCTCCTCTGTGCTTCCTCTATTCAAATACTTCCTCCTCCCTTCTGACCCCACAAGCAACCATCCAATTTTACCCCTTTAGCACTACCATCCAGACATGCATATGAATCCATCTTGGATTCCCACACACCACCTTAGGATTTATCTCCTCAGTGCTTTCTTTCTGGTCTGCTGTTCAGTCTCAGAACCAGTGTTAATTCCCTTGAATGTATCAAGGCTAATCACATTTTTTATGCCCTTGAAGCATTTCTCAGTCCCCGGACGATATTCCCTTTCACTGTCCTCTTCTTCTGCCCCTTCTAGAAGTGTATCTTAGTGTACTGAGAGTCATAGATTGCCAGCCACCTTCACATGGATTTCTGTCTCACATAACTTTATATGTCATACACCACGGCATTGCTTAGAAATGTGAAATGTGTTTCTCAATATTTTCAGGGCTTGATCTTCTCCATTCCCTAATTTCACTTGTTTTTTTCCCCAGATATGCCTCTTACCACCCATGTCTCCACATTGCTGACTCAGCATGGCAGGGGCCTGGCTGGTTGGGAAGAGTTGGAGATGCTGCTGACACTTGGGTCCTGGCAAGAAGGGGACCAGATGGCTTTTATTACTGGGCTCAGATAAAGGCTGCTCCAGAGGCAAGTTCCTCACACATCCCAGCACACTCCTCTAGATGGCCCTGTCACACCTGCTATGCCTCAGCTGTGTGTGTCCAGCAGTTCAGTTTCTTGGATAAGCACACATTTTTTTGTGACCAGGTTCCAGAAGCACTGTAATGTCAGTGAGTGTATGAGTCTGCTAGGGCTGTGTAACAGAGTAACACAGCATGGTGGCTTAAATAATAGAAATGTATTATCTCTCAGTTCTGGAGACTTAAGTTCAGATGTTGACAGAGTTGGTTCTTTTTTTTTTTTTTTTTTTTTTTTTTTTTTTTTTTTTTTTTTTAATGTTTTATTTATTTCTGAGAGAGAGACAGCATGAACAGGGGAGGGTCAGAGAGAGAGGAAGACACAGAATCTGAACAGATTCCAGGCTCTGAGCTAGCTGTCAGCACAGAGCCCAACGTGGGGCTTGAACCCACGAACCGTGAGATCATGACCTGAGCCAAAGTCAGACGCCCAACAGACTGAACCACCCAGGTGCCCCTAGAGTTGGTTCTTCTGAAGGCTGTGAGGGAGAATCTGTTCCACATGCCTTTTCTGATTGACTTCTGGTGGCTTGCTGCCAATCTCTGCTGTTCTTGGCTTAAAGAAGTAGCACCCCAATCTTTGCCCCATCTTCATATGATACCTACCCTCTGTGCATGTCTGTGTTCACATTTCCCCTTTATAGAAGAACATCAGTCATTGGAGGTCGCCTGGGTGGCTCATTTGGTTCAGTGTCTGACTCTTTGATTTTGGCTCAGGTCATGATCTGATGGTTTGTGACTTAAAGGCCCGCACTGGGCTCTGTGCTGACAGTACGGAGCCTGCTTAGAATTCTCTCTCTTTGACCCTCCCCTTCTTGTGCTCTCTCTCAAAAATAAATCAATGAATTTAAAAAAAAAAAAAAAACATCAGTCACTGGATTAGGTATCTACCCTCCCCCAGCCTAATATGGCCTTCTCTTAACTAATTATATCTTCAATGATCCTATTCCCCAATAAGGTCATATTTGGAGGGGTTTGGACTCTTAATGTATGAATTTGAGGAAGATACAATTGAACCTGTGACAGTGAAGAAAGTTTGCAGTAAAAAGTGATTTGTCCAGGAAAATTCAGTGTGTTGAATTATGGGCACCAGCCTAAAGGAAAGAGAAGCCAACCCTTCTGACCACACTCATGCCTCTGTACCCGCACACACAGAAGTGTTGTCCTCCACGTGCTGAGAGCCAGGCCTGCCCTGCACTTCAGTGGCTGTTTACTTCCTTGGGATTTTTTTTCTCTTCGTTTCAGAGTTAGACTTTGTGCATGTGGATTCATGGAGGGAAGACTAGTGTGAATTTCCATTCAAAAGTCATTTTGTCACTTTTCCAGTAGCTAAATGTGAATTCAAATGAAATATTAGCAGAGTTTTGTTTAAGGAATAGGTTGTCTAGTGATTAAAGTAATTTTTTTGTGGTTAATTTGTTAACCAGAACTTATTTCTCTTTAAAATCATACTGAGTTCTCAAAACAGCTTGTACTTTTCAGCAGCTTAAGTACTTCCTTGCCCTCTCTTTTATGATGTCCACTTGCTAAGCCAAATCTTTCCTCCCTGATGTAATGGCAGTGCTGAGGGCTGCCCTCACATTAGGCCATAGCTACTCCTTGCCCATGTGGGTGTGGGCCTGTGGATGCATATGTGACCCCTGGTTGGTCTTGGGTGCAGGGACAACACTTCTGGGGAATCCTAGCAGAAGAGAGAGTGCACTGGGGAAAGATCCAGAGGAATCAGGTTATCCCTGGGAATTGCAGTCCAAATATATAAAGGAGCAAATACAGACAGGAAAAGGAAGGGAATGGGAAAGGGATGGCAGCAAGTGATAAACAAAAGTTGCTCGTGGCAGAAAGGGGTCGAGGGAAGAGCGTCCACACGGCTGCCAGCCTGTTCCTGTCCCTGTCCCCTGGCCCTCACTGTGGGTAAGCACGTCCCCAGGCCTGGTTCTAGGACATTGTAGGGAACCACAGTGCTTCCCTGTTCTACTCCCCAGTGCCAGATCTTATGCTGAGTGTGTTCTTTTCCACAGCTGGAGAGACAGGGGGCCCTGCTTGTGGAATTTGAGGTTCCCATCATCACAGACCCAAAGCTGCCAGCCCAGCGGCAGAGCGTGGTCTTAGAAGAAGATGTCATTTGGTTCTTGCCATGCGTAGAATACTCACCGCAGCTGGGGGACAAGGTGCTTGCACCCTGGGGGCCAGACCAGCAGGGGTATGGCCCTGGCATGATTCTCTCGGGCTTGGAGGCGAGAGACCCCCTGAGAGGTAAGGGGAGCTGCTTTGACCTATCAGTTCCCAGAGGGGGCCAGGCTGGTATGAGAGAGCCAGAGGTGTCTTAGAGGTGAGCGTAGGGCCTTAGCGCTGTTTAAAAAAAACCTCACCCCCTCACTTGCAGTTTAGTCCTGGATGTGGCAACAGAAAAAAAGATCATAACTTTCAGATTATAAAATGCTTTCTATCAGGGAAAAACAGACTAAAATTATTATGTCTGCATTGGTTAGCTAACCTATGGTGCGATGGGGCCATACTCATGACGGATTCCCCCATCAAGAGAGTCCCCTCTACAGGGTGCACCGGCCAGCATCGTTGTAGTTTAGACAGTGAGATGAGGAGGCCTCTCCTCTTTCCCCTCCGAGGATGCATTTTGACTTTGACCTGAAGATTGAGACAGAGAGGTGCCTGCAAGTGCACTGGGAAGTGGCCGTAGATAGGGGGCAGGTGAGGGAATGTTCCTGGGAAGGCTCTCCAGGGAGGGGAGGCCAGCAGAGCAGAGGCTGCCCTGAGGTTTGCTTTCGGGCTATGACATAGAAGAGGTATAACCAACAAAATGTTGCTCTTTCTGTTGCGTAGCATCAAAAGGAGGAGGAATTACTGTTCGCTTCTGGAATGGCAGGACAACTACTGTGCCTCTGGGCCGGGTCAGGTGGGTGCCCCCAGCTGTGTGGAAGAAGGCTGTGGAGAGGCTGCACAAGCCTTTAACCAGGCAGTACCCCAGTCCCCTCCTCTGGGCCCCTTGCTGCTCTCTGCTGGGACCGGTCGCTGGATGTGTCATCAGTGGGCTCTCTCCGGCCACTCTGTTCTTGTGCCCGCCCTGCCTCCCCCACACCTGCTGCCAGCTGCTGTGCCAGACCTGCCTCTGCTGCTATCCCTGGGCAGGACCCACCTGGTGGCCTCTAGCCAGGACCTCAGAGGCCACAGCCAGAGAACATCCAGAGGTGGAAGTGAAGCCCACAGCACAACTTTTGCCACTAGAGGGTCCTGAAGAAGAGGAAGTAGTAGCAGTGCAAGCTCCCATTAGTGTTTCCTCCTCTTCTTCCTCCTCCTCTTCTGAGGAAGAGGATTTGAAGGATGATCTGGAGATGGGGCTCCCGCAGAGACTGGCAGTGGACAGCACAGTCAACATGGACCCCATCCTTCTTGAGAAGTCTCCGAGGAGGCAGGGTGGCCTCTGCCAGCCCGAGTGGAGGTATTGGAGGAGAATCAGGTATGAGCCCAGTCCTGGGAAGCCAGGTATACCTTCTGAGATCCCTGCTCCCTTACCTCCCATGTATCTCTTGGGAATCTCATGCGTGTGTCCACTGTACTGGGATTGGAAGTAACAGGTTTTCAACAGGCCATGTTGAAGGGGAGGCTGGGACAAGAGGGAAATCGTGGGTTTCCATTTGAGCAATAAAACCCACTAAGAAAGGATGGGCTGAATTTTGTGTGAAGGTTTGCATCCCTGTTTAACAGCTGTCTTTTCCTCTTTTACTAGTCTCTGCTCACAGGGTACTGCTCTTGTCTGGTTTGGCTTGCCCCATAACCCCATTTTTTTTTCTTGGAGCCCTTGAGTTTTCTCTAGATGAAGAGTCAAGAGAAAACTGGGTGCCTGGGTGGCTCAGTCGGTTGGGCGTCCGACTTGGGCTCAGGTCATGATCTCACAATTCGTGGGCTTGAGCCCCACATCAGGCTCTGTGCTGACAGCTAGCTCAGAGCCTGGAGCCTGTCTTTGGATTCTGTATCTCTCTCTCTCTGACCCTCCCTTGCTTGCACTGTCTCTTTCTGACTCTCAAAAATAAATAAAAAACATTAAAAAAATTTTTTTAAATGCCCCCAGGTGTTGATTAGAGTCTTCAGTGTCCTGAGAAGCACAGAAACTGCTCTTTGAACATTGGTGGTCAGGCCTTACTCCCCAGATGGTCCCCGTAGTAAATCAGAATGGGAAGAAGCAGGGTGCTGCATCATACTGCTCACTCCTTACAAGAAGGGAGGTCATGTTACTGTTGTTGGCAATCCACAGCCATCCCCACCTTCACCTTGATCTAGGAAGTGCATGACATGCTCCCCTCATAGGTTTAGAAGCAGTCTATCGCTGGCATGCCTCACGCCTGTCATATCTAAATTCCCAGTAAGCCCCAGCAAGAGCAGCAGCCTAAGTCAGCTGGCAGAGGTGGCTGGGATATGCCCAGCCCTAGACCAGATTCTTGGGGCCCTGGGGTCCCTAGTGTAATATCAGTGAGCTAAATGAACATTCAATCTGAGGCAGGAGGCTATATGGTTAAAGAACACCACTCCTAAGGGCTTAAGGATCTTGAGGCACCACCTGGATTGGGACCCACTGTGCATCCCTGTTTGAAGCGACTGCCCTGTTTCCAGGACAGCTGAGGCTCAGCCAGAAGGACCTCTGAGCCCCTGAGGATTTCAATCTTGCCCCAGGGGTAAGAATTTTATTGGTCTTCAGTTCCAGAAAGTTAAGAAATTGTTTCTACACTGAGAAACTTTCTTGGTGACTCCTGAGCCCCTGTGTTTTGGGGTGGTTGGGAATGGATAGGGGTTGGCTGCTTTGGACTTAAACTGAGGGCTCTAGACCTTCCTTGGTTTTCAAAGTGGGGGATCTTTCCCCTACTTCTGAGGGGGTAACTGAGAAACAAGAATGCAGCTGTGTGCAGCTGAGCTCCTCCTCCCCTGAGAGGAAATTTTGTACTGAAAATATAAAGGGGGAAGCAGGTTCTTGGGTTCCTGTGAAATGGGTCCCTGATCCTACAGTGAGAGGTGGTGAGAGGTGCTGGCAGAAGCTACTTGGAAACAACCGTTTCTACCAGATATACCCTCCCTACAAGTGATAGTATAAAGAAAATGGTGCCCAAACCTTGAGTTTTCATGCCAAATTCTCCATAGCTTCCACTGCCTCCTGCTTCAGCAGATTGGAGAGAAAAGCTGTACCTCCGGCAGAGAGGAGTCTGTAGGGAGCAACTGAGCCGCACTGGGCTCACCTTCAGGGAGGAACGCCAGTGGGGTAACAAGAGGGGCCATGGAGGTTAGACACACCTGGGCACCAGGTGTGCCTTCCCACTGTTGTAGCTCTGCTCAGCACATCATTCCTCCTCGACTGGTTCCAGACCTGGTTAAGTCCAAACAAACGTCCCCTAAGCATCCCCTGCCCTTCTCTCCCTCCAGTGCCCAGCCACCACATTCAGTCTCTCTGCCCCTCACCACATTTAAACAGATCTGCTCATAAGTGTCCTGTTCCCTCCCAAATGAATTCTAATTGGCTACAGAGAAGATAAATATGGTACCTTTAGGTACTTGGCCTGGTTTTCCCTTAGGCACTAGATCATTTGTTATGCTCCAGGCAAAGGTTAATTCTTAGAGCTGAAACGTGAGGATCACAGGACCTGCCCTCTGCCAGTTCGCAACCCTGTGCCCAAAGCTGTGGGGGAATATACTTGAGTTGGGGTGTGGAGAAAGGGGCCATTCCTGACCCTTGTCACAGGTGGGGCATTGTGGGCCAAAACTAACTAGTGAAAATGAGGTGCATCAGGGTTGGAAACGATGGGAACACCAGAACTTTTCTTTTTCTTCCCGTTGGATTTTGTATGCTTTTGAGGAAAGATGCTGCTTTGTTTCTCCTAACTGTGCTTGATGGCCATCAATCAACTACTGATGCCTAACAGTCAGTCTTAGGCTCTGCCTTATAAGAATCCCCTTGTGTGGGTCCCTCTGCCCTTCATACTTTGTTATTTTTAAGTTACTGTTTGATCCTCACCTAATAATCCCAGAGAGGCCAGGTTGCTGGCTGCCCAGAGTTATGTTGCTCTCCTCCCTTGCTTACGACTGAAACAAGATTCAGCCTGTAGTTTTCAAAGCCAGGAAGGGGATGGATTCCTGTAAGTACTCCCTCCTTTTTAGATTAGTGTCCTATTCCCAATGGAGTCACAGCTTCCAATATTTTGCCCCATTCAACCTCTTAAAACTTGTTTTCCCAGCAGCTTACCACCTCTTCCTCATGATCAGTGTGATTTATAAGCTCCTTTGTCGTTGTCGTTGTTGTTTTTTAATGTTTTATTTATTTCTGAGAGAGAGAGAGAGAGACAGAATGAGCAGGGGAGGATCAGAGAGAGAGAGGGAGACACAGAATCTGAAGCAGGCTTCAGGCTCTGAGCTGTCAGCACAGAGCTCGATGTGGGGCTCGAACCCACGAACCGTGAGATCGTGACCTGAGCCGAAGTCGAATGCTTAACCGACTGAGCCACCCAGGTGCCCCAACAAGCTCCTTTGACAGGTGGCAGTTGGCTACCTTTGCTTCCCCTACTGGCTGGTCTGAAAATCAAGACTGATACCTTCTCCACCCAATTCCAGTTCTATCCAAAAAGCACAATGGCCAGAAACGACTACCAAACTTTATTTCTCTTTAAAAACAGCAGTGCCAGGAGCTTACAGATAGTTAAGAGATTCTGGGATCTGTGACATAGTTCTACTTCAGTCATTAAGACTCATCGCATGGTGGCACACATAACTAATTAAATTTGGGGTTTAGGAACAAGACATGGCAACATCTGGAAAGAAGAGAGGGACGGCAAACAACAGAGGGTACGAACCCTAGTGGTGGGGAGAACCCAGGGGCTGGTCCTGGAAGCGAGCAGCATGAAGCCACCGCAGAGCCTGCCAGAGGAAGCAGAACGCAGAAAACGGAGTCAGGGTATGTTGACACACCAGAGGGACAGGAATATCCCTCCAACGGAAAGCCCTGAGGAGTCAGGTAAAGCAGGATGGCCGGGAAGGGGCTTCTCAAGGACTCCTTGCATGGCTCTTCATGCTCCTTTTGGGAATGAAAAATCCCATGCTCTCTTTTCCCGGGAAAATGCACAGACCCACAATTCTGCATTGTTTCAGAAGGCTTACAAAACCCCTGACGCTGATTACAGTCTCCTTGGGGAGGCAAGGATCCCACTGAAATGACACTTTACCCTATGGTGATGGGCATGGGTCTGCTTTATCAGGTCCTCTGTCCGTGGGAGTCTGTTCCTCCCTAGGAATGCTAATATAGCTCTACATAAAATTTAACTTAAATCATAGAAAATATTGGGATTCTTCCTGAGGAAAGACTTGTTACGTTCAGATTGAGATGAATTACCAGGCAACCAAACTGAACAATGCAGCAATACTGTTGACATGGTAGCTTAAAGTTTAGGGCACACCAAGGACTTTTGAAAACCAGTGACTTTTGGGGTGCCTGGGTGGCTCGGTTAAGTGTCCCACTCCTGACTTCAGCTTAGATCATGATCTCACAGTTCGTGGGACTGAGCCCCACATTGGGCTCTTCCTATGTCAGGCTCTGTGCTGACAGCACGGAGCTTGCTTGGGATTTTCTTTCTCCTTCTCTGCCACTCCCCAGTGCACATAAATAAATAAAACCTGTGACTTTTGATCCTTAAAATTATAGTCAGCATAAGACTCTCAGGATATTTTTTTATTTTTATTTTTTTTTTTACAGGAAGCTAAAACAGTAGGGGTGGCAAATACCCTAGGAGGCATTACAAAGTGGCTGACAAGTCCTCCTTCAATGGATGGAGGCAGAGTGCAGGCCTCAAGTGACCATCGAATAAGCATCAGCATCTTCACCCATTAAGGGTTCCTGGCAGACGAGTGGCAGGAAGGCACCTGCCACAGGGGCAAAGGAGTGTGGTGGCTGTGGCTAGGATTCCCTGCTGGGGGCTGGGGAGACTGCTCCAGGATGCCTCTTCCACAGAAGGTGCAAGGGATGACTGGCCTGCTGTGGGCAAATGTGTCCACAGTCTCTGCCATCATAAGCCTATAGCTGGGCGTGAGGGACAGTTTCGCCTCTTAATACCAATAAAAAGGAATTCTCTTCATTTCCAAATCTCTTCCTTTATTATCATAATTAGTCTTTACCTCGAAAGTAAGCAGTTAAAAACCATTCAGATGCATCACATTATTTTCAGCAAAAGGTGGGGAGTGGGCACTTCTAGAGGTAAGCTGAAATAGGCACTGAAAGAGACAAACTCCAGTTCCCAGGAAGGCTGACCCTCTACAGTCAGCACTAAAAGCAGGAGTAATGTGTAAATATTAAGAGAATCATGTGACTTTATTCTTCTTGCTACTTAAGAAAAGGTGATGTGATGGCTGGGATGGTCAACATCACACGGGGAAGACCAAGTCCACACTTTGTCCTGAGTCCACTGCTACCACGTGAGTCTTGGTTAAGTCATTTGCACCCACAGTGACAGAATAGGTCCCTGGATATACTTCAATATAGAGGTCCTTGGAGATGTTCTCCACCTGCGAGGAAAATCAGATATTAGCAGTTTAGAGATTTTCTATCACAGTGCCATCAGGGTACCTCTGGCGGGTGACCCCTGTGTGCCAGAAGTGCAGTGTGATGAAGCACTGATGGGGGACACGGAGGTCCTCCTTTCTAGGCTCAGCCTGGGCAGATAACAGGAATGTCATTTAGGGAAGTCTCCGCCTCTCCTTGTGCTTGTTCCCTCATTTCTAAAACTGTGATAATACCTACCTCACAACATATACATGAAAACACTTTGTAAGCACTAGGATGTTACAGGAACATGAAGGATCCTAAACGGGACACTTTAGTTGTTGCAGAAAGATAAGAATTAGGCAGAGGGAAAGACTAATGATCATCCTGTTGGGGATCAAAAGTGGAGAGTGGCACTTCTTAGCACGAATTAGCAGTAATGACAAGGCACCATGGAATAATAAGACCCTGTCTTTTTAACTGTGCTTTACTAACTCAGGAGGAAGATGAACTACTGTCTTCTCCGAAAGCGGAGCACACTAGAGTAGATCCCGTTCGGTTATGTGGCAAGGCGGCTGGCTGGCCACAGCCTCCCCTGGAGGACTGGTTCTGCTGTAGTACAAAGCATGGGAAGCTGGACTGAACAGAAAGAGTTGTGTGTGGGGCTGTGCCGAACACAGACCATCTTCCAGGGACAGATTCAACACACGGCTGGGAAGTGGGTAGATGTGCAGGCAGAGGAGGGGTCTCAGTTCAGATGGCTGACGGAAGGCCATACACTGGAGAAGAGCCCATAGCGAAGAGTTGAAGCTCGCATCCCGCAGCTGGGACACCCCGCAAGCTTCCTCAGTGCTCAGGGAGAGCCGGAGGCAGGAGCTGCCCTTTCTGCCATCATATCCGAGGCCAAAACCAGCCAGTGAACTCCACGAGGAGGAATAAATGGTAATATTTATACTTTTATCAAACTGCCTCCCTGTCCTCCACTTTGCATACATTTAAAGTAAACTTTTCCCGGGCACCCTCCTACACTGTTGGTGGGAATGTAAACTGGTGCAGCCCCTCTGGAAAACAGTGTGGAGGTTCCTCAAAAAATTAACAACAGGACTCCCCTATGACCCAGCAATAGCACTTCTAGGAATTTACCCAAGGGATACAGGAGTGCTGGTGCATAGGGGCACATGTACCGCAATGTTCACAGTAGCACTCTCAACAATAGTCAAAACATGGGAAGAGCCTAAGTGTCCAGCAATGACAAATGGATCAAGAAGATGTGGTTCATCTATACAATGGAATACTACATGGCAATGAGAAAGAATGAAATCTGGCCATTTGTAGCAACGTGGATGGAACTTGAGGCTGTTACGCTGAGCGAATTAAGTCAGGCAGAGAAGGACAGATAGCATACACTTTGACATATAGGTGGATTAGGAGAAACTTAACAGAGGGCCATGGGGGAGGAGAAGGGGAAAAAATAGTTGGGGAGAGGGAGGGAGGCAAACCATGAGAGATTCTTGAAAGCTGAGAACAAACAGGGCTGATGGGGGTGGGGGGGTGATGGGCATGGAGGAGGGCACTTGTTGGGATGAGCACTGGGTGTTATATGGAAACGGACTTGACAAACTATTTAAGAAAAAATAAAGTGAAGTTTTCCTTGGGCACCTGGGTGGCTCAGTCGGTTGAGCATCCTACTCCCTGTTTTGGCTTAGGTCATCATCTCACAGTTTTGTGAGTTCGAGCCTCCAGTCGGACTCTGCTCTGACAGTGCGGACGGAGTCTGCTTGGGATTCTTTCTCTGACCACCCCTCCACCCCTTTCCTCTCTTGCTCAAACTGTCTCTCTCTCAAAATAAATATATAAAACTTAAAATTTTTTTTTAAAAAGAAAGTGAACTTTTTCCAAAGCTGCTTTAACCTTTGTCCTTTCATGCCCAGTTACTGCAGAATTGGCCTTATTATCATTTAAGTGATACGAATGCATAGGACTCTACCACAACTATTCACTGGTCATTAACTATGTAAGTACACAAAAGTAGGTCTCAGAAAATACAGCTATATCAGAATCGCAGAAAGCCAAGGCTACTTCATTTGTCTGCAATAAAGGAAACATGGGGGTAAGGTAGGCATTTGTGATTCCAACAGCATGAATATCAGGCAGATTAGCATTACCGAAATTCAGCAAGTATGGGAGGCATCTAAACCTTACACTACTTGTGCTAGAAGCAGAATATTCGTCGTTGCCACTAACTCTAGTATATTCCAAATCCTGGCTAGTAGCACACTGTATACACATAAAGATTAAGCAAACTATTGCAGCAACAAGCTAGAGTTCTTTTCCTCAGAATTCCAGCCCTTCCAACTTCCAAAAAATTCCCCGGGTTCATGAACTAATGAGTATTTTATCCTAAAAATGAAAACCTCATCACTGTGTTTTTTACATAGAAACATTTGTGGAAAATGAGAACAAATCCCTTCAAATGTTTTGGAACTCGATCTAACCAAATTTATATGTTTCAGAATTTCAGCAATGGTTTTCACTTTGTAAGCAGGAGGGTCAGCGCCCCCCCTCCCCCCCGCTGCTTGAACAGATGGTGGGATTCCAGCAGGACCCAGTGCCAGCCCAGCTGGGCTGTAGGAATGGAGATGAGAATATTTCACATTCTTTCCAACCACAAGTATGAGTCCAAGCACAGAGAGTATCCCTTAAGCTGCAAGTGAAGGAAGGATACCAAGAAAACATAATTTTATATTGACTCAAAATGCTGTACACTCTCCTTCTTCAAGGGTGAAACCTCCCAAATTCAAATACAAAGAATTCTCTAACCAGGTCAACTGGTTCATGGAATTGCAGAGGTGGTGAAGCTTAGAACAGGGAAGACGTACTCACAGGCTGCTGAGAGGCCTCTAGAGCACACTCTGATGCGTGAGAGATGCCTCCAAGACCAAGAGAGGTGTCTTGTCTCTGAAGAGATAAGTAGAAACATTGATTAGTGCCCAGACTTCTGGATTATAATAAGAAACTTTCTCTTACTTGATGAGGATCTAGTAACTGTCCTGTCAGTTTCTTCTAAGTTATAAAGGCTTTTAGTGAACTCTGTGAGGTATTTGTAGTCAGAAGTTTACCATGATTATTGTTTTATACTTACATGGGCTTTGGGGTCAGACCTGAATTTGAATCCTATCTCTTGCTTTACTGGAAGGGGCAGATTAATTTCTCTAAGTCAGTTTCCTAGTCTACAACATGGGGATACTACATTGGAGATTTAAAGTGCAAGAGTGACTGACACTTAACAGGCTCTCAAAAAATAAAATTCTCTTCTGTGCTTCTCCCAGGAGTGGGGGTACTTGATGAGAAAGGCAGAACTGATAAAGTCGATTTCCCTTAGAAGCACCAACTTACATTTTATAGGAAGGGATGGGAGGGGTAGGACTGACTCTTGCTCACTTGTAACCCCTTAGGGTCAGGCAAGAAAAGGGAACCCAGGATTCAGGCTGTGGTGGAGCTCCACACACCCCAGGCCAGGGAAACGGGAGGCACCTGCAGCGTGCATCCAGCCCTCGCTTACATCCCTGCGGCCTTCTCCCATCCTTTACCTAAACCCATAGGTCAGAGAAGTCAGGAACCCAATCTGTGGATTAGACTGTGAACTTAAGTTTGCTGCCTTTAAGTACAACTAGGGGAGTTTAAGAAGAACAAAACAAAACAAAACTCTCCTCTCTTCAAAACAACAACGGACTCCTATGGCATCAGTTCAACAAGTAGAACCTTTGGCTTCCCCAGCACGTGTGGTAAGAGACAGGTAAGGTGGTAGTGAGAGGCCTGTAATTGTTCCTTACTAATACCAGCAGTTTATGTCCTAATACTTTAGGAAAAGAAGTCGGATACAAGAGACACCCCGCTCCTTGCACTCCCTTCTTAAAAATTACCAAAGACATGATAATTATCATTACTTTAGGGTGAAATATGTGGTTATTAAAAACCTCTTTCATATCCGTAGATGTAGGAGAGGATATCTGGAGCTCTCTTCTTTAAGCCTGTCCAAGAATCCTATGACTCAGGATTGCAGGCTCAAATGAAGATGCTGCGATGGCATCAATCTTATCTTTTGGACAAACTCCTACTTCATTTTCACTGCTGCCAGGTCTCCAAGGTTGGGGGCTGATACATTTCCAATAAACACTGTAATGCTGAGACACACAGTAATCCCCAAAATACAAATCCAGCAGGAGCTCCTGAATACGGGGAGTCATTTCAGGGGCGGTGGGGGCGGGGGGGATGTGTGTGCGAGCGCGCGCTGAGAGCACAGCATGGACAGTTGAGGATACATACCTGACCACTCCCCCTGTCACAGTGTAAATGCAGCTCTGACTTCCCTCTGTGATAACGAGAGACGTGGGCTGCCCCTCCTTCCTCCAGTACAGATGAATAATATTTCTATAGAAGTAATGTGAAAGATGTTGGTAACCAATAGTCTTATCAAATTAAAGAAAAAAAACCCTGCCTGCCACTTAGGGAAAGTGTGGTTAAGGAGGGACACAACAGAGCAAAGGTATATTATCTACTCTCTTGATAGGCCTATGAAGTTAAGGAACAAATCTGAGCCCATGTAAGGGGAAAGGAAACTGCATTTGGCATCGCTTTGCTGCCATCTGCTGCCTTTGTAGGGCAAGAACTCTGGCCAACTACAGTTGGGCAGGTTCATGCTCTTTGCCAAGTTAAATAATTGTCACAATGTCTTTGCCCCAATGTCAAGTACATATGCCCTTCCATCTCCTCTCATCACAAGTTCTGATGAGCTCTTCCATGTTTATTGTTTAAGGACAAGGACAAGGGAAGAGGGGTGCATCTCCTGGAGATTTAGAAATACAACAGGAAATGTAACAAAAACTCAACAGCTAGGCAATTGTTCTGTCCATACAGAGGAGGGGAGGAAGAGGCCTGTAATTTTAGGAGAATAGTCCAAAGGATCAGAAAGCAGTTACATTTTTTCTTGTATACTTCCTTTCTCCCCCTCGAAGTTAACCTTAGACTTGCCCTTGATTATGACCAATGATGAGGACATCACAAATCTGCTTGTTTTGAACACAGTGTAAAAAAGTGTTTAAGACATAAGACCAAAAGAATGAGAAGCTGGGGATAGCATCAGGACATAGGTCTAATGATGTATTTCAGGGGCTCCTTCAAAACTGTAAAGGCAAGCTCAGAACACTTTTTAATTCTATCTTGACAAAGCCAAGGGATTCTGAGACTCCATTCCAGAGTGGAAACTTGAAGTAGAGACTGAAAATCAAAATAAGACCACCAATTTTCTAAACCTCAAACCAAAGACTAACATTATTCCTTTTACTGAACCATGTACCAAAACGTTTAAGTTGATCACTTCACAGAAGGGCTGAAGTTATGGATTTTTCTAAAACCATTTAACAGAATAACATAAAAATATTCCCTGGACCATATCTCATTGATTGGAATCCTGTTCTCAGAGTCATAGGAATTTTACAAAAGATATATAGAGAGGAGAGATTTTTAAAAATCTTAATATATGAAATTGAATCATGGTATTCCTCTCCTTCTCCCTGTAGACCAGCATCCTTATAACCACATTAAGAATCACATCATGTTAAGGCTGGAAGAGACCACAGAGTCTGCTGTAACTTCTAAACAATACAGTATCTTGCATGCAGGTAATTTCCTTGGATGCCAGCTGGCCTGCCTTCACCATTCCCTCAAAGTACTTAAAGGTCACCTTAGCATATGGTTTTGAGAAGAGGATCATTAAAAGCTTTGTACACTCATATCAGTGAATGGTACCAAAAATTTCACTTAAGTTCCTCATGCTGACAGTTCGTGACAATTTTCTAGTGTTCACCTCTCAGTGGAAACCAAAGAAACGGACCCTAGAGGCTGGAAAGCACTTTAGAGATCCTCATTTTATGAAAAAGAAGGTAGGCTGAGAGAGACTAACTGGCCCAGGGCATTATAGCCAGTAAGTGGCAGAACACGGGTGTGATTCCTGGGAGACTGCTCCTGCCATTAGAGCAAACCACCTCTGATGAGGGGACTGCATCTGTTCCACATAACAACCACCTTTGTGGCCAACAAGTCATATGGACTCATAGGGACATACTTAAAAACAAATTACCAGGGACTTGAAACAGAGGTTAAGTTCTAGTGTAGGGATTTTGTTTCAGTTTTTGTTTCAGTACATTTCAAAAACCAGAAAGGCTCGGTTCCAGTTTAGAGTTACCTTACTGATGTTTTTTAACTTTAGCTCAGTTCAAAGTTAAAAAAAAAACAACCCTAATATCTGGACTTGTTCTGGAATTCAGCAAATATGCTTCCCACCCCCTCCCCCACTAGTCTGAAAACAACAGCGAGGAGAGAGACCTTTTGTGGCTTGTTTACTGTTGCATCTTCAATAATACTTACGGAATTAGACATGCAATAAATATTTGTTGAATAAATTCTAACTTGGATTTATCATCTGGTTTAAATCCCTGTTTACAATCTGCCCTTGAAGGCGAGGCAGAGTAAACAGGCAGTCTCCACAGAGTCTCCCTAAATTCCACAAAGATCCACTTTGTGATCCATCTGCAGGTGGGTCAGGGGCATGGCTTTGGCTTACACCAACTTACCCCACACTGACTTGAAGTATAGTCCATGAATTCTGCCATTGTTCTGAAGGAAGCACTGAGGGTTGGCTGTCTTTCTTCTCTCTATTTGAATAAATGGCAAATCACAGGTGAGATCTGGTATTCCCTACTGGAGAATGAAGTCATTTGGGAATAGTGTGGTTTTTGCTTTTCGAAAGGTCTCTGCAAGTTTAAGTCAGTAAGAAGGCTCTTACTGTGAAAGAATTCCAATCTAATGGGAATTTATCCAAGACAAGGAAAGGTTTGCAAGCTTTCCTGTAAAATCAGATGGTAGCATGTAATAATTTTTTTTTTGTTTTTAATAAAAAAGTAACCTACCAGGGCCGACCACTAGTGGTACCCTAAACTACCCAACAAGAGTCTGTCAAATGTCAAGAGTTTTCAATGGGCATTTCCGTTCACTGTCCGGTTACTTTACAGCTTCCGCCAAGGACAGGACCCCTCAGGTGCTTCTGCTGGGCGTGCCCAGATTGCCAGCAGGCCACAGGGAGCGAATGAATGGGCTGGTCCCCAAGCACAGGAGCCCTCACCTCTCCCGGGAGAAGGTGCTGGGAGCCGGCGGCCGGCCGTCTTTCTCGGTAAGGCTGCTCCCGGGAAGTGACCCCCACGCTGCTTCTGGGGAGCTCCCGCGAATGCCAGTCCACTGCCCTCCTCTTGGCCCGCTCCAGCACTTCTTGACCCAGCCTAGCGGTGCGCTGCAGGGCACGTCGGTCCACCCCGTTCAGAGCTGCGGCCGCCAAACAGTTCTCCATGTCTCCCTGCGCGGGTACATACACACAAACACAGGCGGCTCAGCGGGTAGCCAGGACACTGCTCCAGCTGAGGGTGGGAGCCCCAGCCTCGACCTCCCCGGCGACCACTGCCCCCGGCTCCGCCCCCAATGCGCTCTCCAGCCGGCGCCCAGCCGAGAGCAAGCGGTGCGCGCAGATCCCCTCCATTTCCGCCTCCCAGCTCCCCTCGGTAGGGGGCCCTCACCGACCCGCCTCTCCAGGCGCATGCGCTCAGGGTGTGTTGGAGCGGCAGGGCTGGACCTGGAGAACCCTGCGCCCGCGCAGCAGTCCATGGGGGGGCGGGGTTTGTGGCCTGCGCAAACCCCGCCTTTTGCGTACTGGCGGCGGCCCTTGAACGCCGGTTGCAGGGCTAACTGCCGGGCGCAGGGGCGGGGCCCTGGCGGAGTGCGGGGCGTGGAGGTCTGAGTCGAGCCTGGGCGGCCGCTGGCTAGCTTGCGCCTTCGGGGGAATCTCAGGTGTAGGTCCCTCGTCTTCCGAGGTCGTCTCTAACGCCTAACGTGATGGACTCGGCGTGAAGTTCGTTAGTCTCCTGTTGGGATAAGAAACTGGGGAATAAGACCCCTGCCTCCAGGCGCCTTTTTGTGCCTGGTCTGTATTTCGGGATATCGCTACTCCAAAAACTTTGAGATGAGTAGGAGAGGCCACATAGTGAGGCCGGCAAGGTGGCGCTTGGAGAAGAGTTTGGCCCGCCGGCTGTGTGCAGTGGGACTCTGGCCCTCTGCCAGAAGGCAGGTGTTCAGGGCTGGAGGGGCGCCTGAGTTCTATGTACCCTGTAACCCCTCGTGGTGGCTTCCTAACTTCTCCATTGGAGAGTAGGGACTCACACATTTTTGGAAGCCTCTTGGGAGGTTGAACCCAACTTGCACCAACGTTTAAGAAGCTATGCGTTGTTACCTTCCACTCCACTTCTCACCTCTGGGTTATTTGATAGAAGGTATAGCTCAAGGTCTGGCTACTAATTAGCGCTGCGCACAGCCAACAAAGTAAAGCCTTGACGTTCAGGAAAATCCACTTTAAGGGATACTGCTCAGTGGGGGTCATTTTAAGGGACATAAGGAAATCAATGCTGAGCTAGTCTCCTCAGCAGATGGCTTGATCAGCAGTTCTGGGCCACCAGGATACTACTGAAACCTCCATCTGCACTGTGGCTCATTTCCTGCTTTCCCTCTCACAGAAATTAAGTGGGAGGCTTCATTATCGTTGGGATATTTTCAGTGTAGTATAAAATATTCTAAAACTTTCCCTCCAATAAATGTTTTTTATTGCCTCCTTTAGAACTTAGTGATTAGGTGCACATGGTCCGGCATATCCAGTCTGGAGAGCTGAGTTTGAATTCAGACTGCCACTTTTTTGCTGTGTTGATAGTGGGCGAACAAGTTACTTCCTTTTACCTCACTTTTCCTCTTCTCTATACGCGGGAATACTGACAGTACCAACCTCCTGGACTGTGAGCTTCTTGAGAGTGGGGACCATGTCCGTTTTGTTTACTGAGTTTCGGGTGCATCTAGTATTTTATCTGTCACAGAAGGGGCTAAAAATAGCTATTGAATGCAGTGAATTAGGAATTGGGTTGCTGTGTGTGTGTGTGTGTGTGTGTGTGTGCGAGAGAGAGAGAGAGAGAGAGAGAGAGAGAGAGAGAGAGATAAATTCCTCTAAAATGTTTAGCCCAATGCCTTGCAAACAGTAAGTGCTCCGCAGATTTAGTGAGCATTGTAATGCTCCAAGCAGGTTCTAGGACTTGTGGAGAATGGAAAGTGGATCAGGTTAAAGCAAAATAAAAACAAGAGAATGATGCACATAAAATCTGTAATGCCAGGAGTCAAATATTAAGATTTTGTTCATAAGCTGTTGTTATGAAATTGATAAAGTGCTATGAAGCTTAGAGGAGAAAGAGGTATTATCCAGTTGGTGGTATCAAGAAAGGCTTTTTAGAGAAGAAGGCATTTGAGCAAAGTCTTCAGGGATGTCCCAGGAATTAATAAGAGATATTTAAAATACCTGTTAACTGCTTTTATAATGAATGTGGTTTGGGGTAAGACAGAATTTGTTTTTCTTTTATTATTTATGAATTTCAAGATCCTGGCTCTATAACTTTTAACTGTGCCTATGTAACCATGATTACCTAACTGTTCTCTACCTCAGTTTTGTCATCTTTAAAATGGGAATAATAATAGTATATTCCTTATAGAGTTGTTGTGAGAATCAAATAATTTAATACATATAAAGTGCTTTGAATAGTAGGTGACGCATAGTAAATACTCAGGAAATATTAGCTAGTATTATCTTAATCAGACTTCAGCCTTGTCTCCCAATATATCCTTTCTTATTCTATATCCATACCTTACGTCACTTGGCTTTCTTCCCCAGGATTCTGTTACTATCTCCCATTCCCAATTCCATTCCAATTGAAGCATTACTTTTTACCAAGTCAGTTTTTTAAATCTGCTATTCCCAGATGCAACCTCTGTTTCCATGGCCTTTTTTTTTTCATATTGATGTGCTTATCCCAATCTGACTTAAATTATATGTAGTTATGCCTCATTTTCTCCCAAGGTAGAAACCGTTCCTGTTTTGTCCCTAAACATCCAGGGCTTGTTAAGCAGTAGGTGTTCAATAGGCATTTGTTGAATTTACTGCCTTAGTTTTTTATTTAAATAGATCCTTGTAGGCCAGATAACAGTTGGCTTCTTGGGAAAAAAAAATCTACCTACATACTTTAATGAAAATAAGGAACATTCAGTTGTAACTAATTTTCCCAGAATTTAACATTTAGAAATATATGGAAAGAAGATCCTTGGAATGAAACTAGAACCTAAACTCTGACATGAAATTAAGTCTTTGCATTTATTTTTATATTTATAAACATATTTATATGTATCTTTTTAAAAAATAATTTCAAGGTTTGAACCATAAATCACATATTGAGGATCCTTTTTCTCTTTTTTAAGATTGGATGGGAATAATGGAACATGACCTACCATCAGGCCCCATGTGGATCAAACGCACCCCAAGCCAGGTATTCCTTAAAGCCTCTGGTGGGATTTGGAAATAGAACAGAAAAAAGAGGGAGGGCATGTGAGCAGGAATGCATCTGATTATCAATGGAGAAACGAACTGTTGGTGTAAGTCTTTCATGATTTCTTTTTCATGAGGGTAAATACATTACAGAGAACACTAGAAGTTGTCTAGGTTATATTCTGGGGAATAGCTGAGTTGGAGGACATCTTCATTCCTGTAATCTGTGGAAAGAGATTGATGCTGTATTTGAGACTTCTTGAGGAGCAAAAAAACAAAACAAACAAAAAACTTTAGTGAAGAGAAAATGTAAATTATTTTTCTCTGTGTGAAGAAGGCAAAAAAAGGGGTTAAAAACCTATGATGTAAAAGTGGGTATCATGCCAGAGTTAGACAATGATTTATACTGTACATACCAGAGAATATATAAATCATTTTATTTGACAGGTGGTATTTTTATTTCTTCAGCAGACTTAGGGAGCTTTAGAATCATTACAGCTTTGTAAAGTAGTATTATAGACTGAGTCATTAGATCATTCATTTTGCCTGATTACATCAACTCATTGGGTTTTTGGAGAATGAAAGAAAGTCATTATGAAAATTGTCATCTTGATTATATAGATTAAAGAAACTGGATCAAAGTTCTGAGAATTAGCTTTCACAACCTGTTAAAAAATTGGAAGTTAAAAAATTGATTGCAGAGCAGGAATGATTAGGGAGAAGGTTTGTCATTTTAAAAACCATCAGAGATTAAAGGAATAATAATTTTGGTAGATATAAATAGTTGGAATCCATGTCGAGTTAAAAAAAAACTACCTTATTGAGTTGAGATATAATTTACATTACATTACATTATATTCACCTGTTTTACATGTATAATTCAATAAATTTTAGTAAATGTACAGAATTTTGCAAACATTACCACAATCCAATTTGGGGACATTTCCATTACCTGGAAAAGATCCCTGTGCCTACCATATGCAGTTAGTCTCAGCTCCCACCTCCAGAGCCAGGCAACTGCTTTTCTGCTTGCTGTTTCTATAAATTTGCCTTTTCTAGGCAGCTCGTATTATTGAGTCATACAGTATGTGACCTTTTTTTATCTGGCTTTCACTTAGCATAAGGTTTTGGAGGCTCATCCATGTTGTAGCAGGTATCAGTACTTCATTTCTTTGTATGACTGAATAATACTCCATTGTATGAATATCCTACATTTTGTTTATCCACTCACTAGTTGTTAGCCATTTTAATTGTTTTCATTTGAGGACTATTCTAAATAATGCTGCTATGAAAGATTAAGTACAAGGCTTTGTGTAGATACAGGTTTTGATTTCTCTTGGGGAGATACTTAGGAGTGGAATTGATGAGTGGTATGGTAAATTTATGTTTAACACTTTAAGAAACTGCCAAATTGTTTTCCAAAGTGGCTGTCTCATTTTAAATTTCCCCAAGTGATTTATGAAGGTTCCAGTTTTTCCAGATCTTCCACATTTGATTATAGTTATACTAGTGGGCATGAAGCAGTAGCTCATTGTGATTTTAATTTGCATTTCTTTAATGACTGTTGATGTTGAGCACGTTTTCTTGTAGTTATTAGCCATGCCTATTCTAATGTCTATTCAATATGTCTATTCAATAGATGTCTATTTAATGTCTATTCAAATCTTTTGCCCATTTTAAAAAATTTATTTACTTTTTAATTTACATACAAGTTAGTGTATAGAGCAACAATGGTTTCAGGAGTAGATTCCTTAATGCCCCTTACCCATTTAGCCCATCCCCTCTCCCACACCCCCTCCAGCAACCTTCCGTTTGTTCTCCATATTTAAGAGCCTCTTATTTTTGTCCCCCTCTCTGTTTTTATATTATTTTTGCTTCCCTCCCTTTATGTTCATCTTTTTTGTATCTTAAAGTCCTCATATGAGTGAATTCATATGATATTTGTCTTTCTCTGACTAATTTTACTTAGCATAATACCCTCTAGTTCCATCCACGTAGTTGCAAATGGCAAGATTTCATTCTTTTTGATTGCCAAGTAATACTGTATTGTATATATATACACCATATCTTCTTTATCCATTCATCCATTGATGGACATTTGGGCTCTATCCATACTTTGGCTATTGTCGATAGTGCTGCTATAAACATTGGGGTGCATGGGCCCCTTCAAAACAGCATACCTGTATCCCTTGGATAAATACCTAGTAGTGCAATTACTGGGTCATAGGGTAGTTCTATTTTTAATTTTTTGAGGAACC